TCACAAGAGTTGTTCCTGTGAGAGTTGTGTACTGTGAGAGTAGTTGGCCTTTGTAGTAAACTCGGTGACAAACTCAAGAACCCTGTTCAGGGGTTGTAGAATCTTTTTATCATTCTCATCATTTACATCTTCTTTTTATTTTAGTTCCAGTCAAAATATAAAATGGCCTGAAATTTCACTAACGGAGAAAGTTCTGCAAGGAAAATACAGCAGCTATTTCTGATGAGAAAGTTGAAGCTAAAGTTAGATTGTGGGGTTCAGAGCTGTTATTTTCTTTCAGCACCTGTGAAACTTCCAGCCTTAGTTACCAAATAGACAAACTTTCCAGCACGTCCTTCAGGAAAATGCACAGTCAAGCCAGCATTTTAGCTAATACTTCTTTCATCACAGACATACAAGATCTGTGCCTCACCAGCAGAGATGGTTACAGGTAAAAACTACTGCCCAACTGCCTAGGGAAGCCTGGTGAGTAATGTTTAATCTACTCAAGACATGAAGGACCTTTCATAATGCATGGTTTTGATTTTCACAAATATTGAGACTATTCTCTGCATTAATGATCGAGTGGATTAAACATGCCCCGTTTTGCTAGATAATGCCCCCTCTGGAGTTCCACTGGGACCAAAGCAGATCTGGCATTTAAACTAAAGTAATCCCTGTTTAGTGAGTGGAAGTCTCTGGAGGGACTACGGTTCTGCATTGCAGCTGTGAAACACAGCATCTTCGCTGTTGCTTATCAGAGATCTGTGCTTCTCGTGGGAAGATTTTGCCCAAAGGATTCAGCCCTTGCCAAATTTTCAGCTGGATTTTGTTTGTTTATTTTTAATTTCTTCTTAAACATCTGAAACCAACAAACTTAAAAAATGCTCCAAATCTATCAACTTGAGTTAAGCCCTTAAAATAAAATAACAAAAAATTAATTCCTCCAGGCTGCCAACTTGTATTTCAAGACTTAATCTAGAATGGATTTAAATGACTGAAATTCTAAACCTTGAATGGAGTTTAATTGAAAAGAATCACTGCTTTTCTTTTCTCCTGTGGTACTGCACCTGTGTCACCCCAGCTAAGTTTCATGGCATCTGATTCATCTGAATTTTAAAATGGCTCGTATCAGTGTCAAACATGCACGTATGTGTAAAATGCTGCTCTTCTGATCTTTCTACTCCCTTTGCAGTGGCAGGGCATGCAGATACCTGCGGAGCAAGTCACCCATAGCCAGGTCTGCCTCCTCTCCTCCCCCTTCACAGTCCCCCAGGAGGCCGTTCCAGTGGGTGCTTTCTCCTGGTCTGTGCTCTCCTCTTTCTTTCTGTTTATACTGATTTATATTTCCAATCATGCAAAAAACTAGGGCAGGGATGGAGTCAGATATTTTGGGTCCAGAACAACCTCTGTTTTTTCCTAAGCTTTCTTCTATGCTGAAAGGCAGAATTTTAATATGATGTTATATGGGCCCTGGAGGTGGTATCAGGCTATGAATGCAGTTAGATCTCCCTCAGCTTCAGGGGTGTTCCAAGGAAGTGGGCTCTATAAATAAAGTATACCAATCCGTACTCCAGTTTATAAAGAGGGATGGTAGAGGACACACAGCTACAATCCATTCAGGGCACTTGTTAGTATTAGAACCCAGGGGAGAAGCTCTGTTTACTTCATAGAAATCTGTTTGTTGGAAATATCAACTCAATAAGCAAATTTCTCAGCCTCAGTATCTTAGCAGTGCAGACATTACAGATGAGAATGACCTTAAAACCTTTCCATTCCTAATGCAGCATTGTTCTGCCCTGTAGAGAGGTTTAGGACTTTGGGATATTAAGCAGAGAACAATCAATCCTATTATCAGGAAACAGCCTTCTAAGAACCCCCTAAGAACTAAATATAGTAAAAGAGTTATGCTTTTCCTAGCATGTTGCTTGTTCATATAATCTGAAATTCAGAGGTTACTGCATTTGAAGAGCTTTTCTGGAACTATTCAAGGAATATGGAATTTATCCTGCAGTGGCGTAAATGGGGTGGAATCTGATTTGGCTTTAGAAGACCTGCCTACAAAAGTCTGCTGTAATGGTACATATCTCCAAAAGATATATTTCATCTTCAGAACTGGCTGAGCATCTTGCCATGTTACAGCCGCATCACTGTACTGCACATTCCTAAGGCAATGCCAAATTCAGACCCTGCCTCCGACCGCAAGCCTCAGGATGCTGTGACGCACTGCTCAGGCCGGCTGGATGCAGAGCTGCGAACAGGAGCAAAGCAAAATCCAGGTCTGGATCCAGCCCCAGAGCCGCTGTTCTCCTGCTGCTAGGAGCACTAGTTGTACCCTACTTGTCTGACTAGGAATGAATGGGACTGTGTTGGTTTTCTTCCAGACTTCTTGTACTTTGCCTCATTATAAACTTCAACATGCACTGTCCTTTCCCCTGTGTTATCTCTCAACCTCCCTCAAGGGCAACGGTGCAGTGCCAAAGGGATACTGCTGTTAGGAATTGTTCTGGGCTGAGAGGACAGGCAAAAATTAACCTTTTTCCTGCTTGGTGTTTCAAACGGCTGCCGCCTGCAGGGAGAGGATGTGTTGAGAATGTGTGAGAGAAAACAGTGAAAAGGGAGAAAATCAGAGAATGAACAAAAAGGGAGCGGGAAAAAAAAAGTACAGCAAGGAAGCTAGAGACAAACTTCAAGTTGTGGATTATTTCTCACCCAGGCTCTAATTAGGAAGCCTCTTAGGGAACTGTGAAGCTGTCAGGCTGCCAAATGTCAGCGTGTTTATCAGAGATCAGGCAAGTCTTCTGTCTGTGGCGGTTACAGTTTGGTGCCGTGGTCCTCCCGGTTCCCTCCAGCATGTGTGACTAACACTCAGCGCTGGCACCTTGAGGGGGCTCTGAGACAAAGTGGAGGGCTCTTTCGCTTTTCCGTTACAAATCCAAAACCAAAACCTTTCCTGAGATCTGGCCTCTTCATTCTGGTTCAGTGCAGAGAGGGTTAATCACAAGAGTTCAGCGAGGCTTCAGCATTATGTGCCTTGGTGACTCAGATTCCCAGGGAAATCCCCCGGCTTATCTGATGGAGCCTGTTAGTCTGCTAATTGAATAAGCTCCTATTAAAAGTGCTGTGTTTTTTAATGACTGCTAACAAAGGGCCAGATTCTGATCAGATCTTTTTGCTTGGGACGGTTTTTGCTGATTGTCCAGCCTTGCCCCTAGTTACATCAGCGTTGGCCTGGAGAGAAGCAGTGCCCTGAAGGCCATGCAAGTGACTCCACCAAGCCAAGACCCAAACACGGATGGGGCCGCGCTCCGGACTGCACGCGTGTACAGAGCCAAAAGTAAAGCATGAACTTAAGGGCTTTCCTGGTGTAAGTGACATACCAGTTTGGCATCAAATCTTCTGTTGTAATGAGCCAAAACTTTGTGAAACTTTTCTAATACACAGGAAGCTCTTAATGGTGATGCTTGCAAAGAGGGAAAACACATCTATGGGACACTGCAGCGCAGCCATCAGAGAAAGGCACTTGTTGGGAGACTGTCAAGCGCTCCATGTACGATCATGGCTGCACATATCTAATGCACGATCCAAGTTGTGTTCTCAATAATTAACTTTCTCAGTGTTGAAATCAGGTTGATTTGTTGATTTTGCATATAAAGTGTTGTCTATGTCTGCACAGAAAATTCTGTGTATGCCTCTGCATATGCACGCTGAAACCTTAACTTTAATTAAAATTAGGTGCGCTGTATCTGTATCTCTTGTCCTTTATGGGAAATGACTTTGCGAAGATATTTGCCTAATAGGAAAAGAAAAAATGTGGTTAACATTTAAAGTGAACATAGTTGGATTCCAACATACTTATGAACAAGAGCACAACAGAGCTCTGGTTTCAGCCAGGCCTCAGCCAGCCTCGTGACTGGGTTTAGCTTGCTGGCATGATCCTGTGACCACAATCGCATTCTTTGTCTCACCTGAAACTGCCCCAATTTCCCCAAGCTGATGCGACATCAGAGCCATGAAACATTGTCTAGTGTAAGAAGAAACGGAAATGAGATCTGGCCAACCTCACCACCACATATCTCCACACCCACTCAGTTCCTTTGTGTGTGGGTCCCCTTTGTTTTTCTCCTATGAAAGTTTCTATTAAAATGCAGGAGCTTCTTTTAGAAGGTCCCAGGAATTCGCACTGCCACTGAGCTGCTGCTTTAAAAGTTTCATAAGCAATCCATAAGTGCTGATTTTTTTCACACAATAACAATAGTGAAGTGTCAAAAAGCTCAAGCTCCTGTTATCAGAAGCAGAGTCTAAAAAATATTTTTCAGCCTCTTTTCTGTTCCCCATTCCTGAGTTGTCAGATGCTGTGACATGGCTCCATCACTCCACAACTAGCAGTCCCAACAAACAGAAAATTATTTCCAACTGGCAAACACGCTGTTTACTTTCCAGAAAAATTGCATTTTCCAAGCGTTTAAACACAGGGATGGAAGTTTAAACATTTTCTCATTATCACAGAATAAAAAAATTAAAAAATAATAAAAAAATAAAGGCATTGAGACTCTCCGACCACCTGCTGTGAGAGTAATGAAGCTGTGTCACATGACCAGCCGGCGAGGACTTTTATCTCTGCCCCAATATCATTACTGAAGTGACACCTGTCACATGACCCACGTCAGGGCTTTCATCTGTGCTCCCCAAATGCAGTTCTGGGTTGCGTGGGGGGTTTTGTTGGTGCTTTTTTTCCCTGTTAAAGAGCATTGCCCACTTGTGCCATTACAGACGGCGTTTTGCTAGTACTTAAAGCCCTCTGATTTTTTTCTTTGGGATATGCAGTCTGGCCAACAAACTTGCTCTGGGCTGAGGTAAAACAGAGAATCTTGGCCTGGGAAAGAAGTTATTTCATTTACTTCAAGATGTTTTTAAAGCAAATATTTAAGTCTGCTGTTAAACTCTCTTTACATAAAAGAGGATGTTCTCTAAATTAAAGTGTTTCTCCAAAATCTCAGATTTCTTTTCATTTTTTTTAGGTGGCAAGAAGAGTTTGATGAGCCTCAAGAACAAAAATCTCCATTGACATGCACTTCATAACTCTCACCTGCTTTACCAATGCATCCTACCCCTACCAAGCAAGAGAAAGTCTTCTCTGGGAGAAAGGAAAGGTCAGTCCTGGGCTTCTCTGCCAATGTCTGGGATTTTTTGTGAGATCTTCAGCAGCAAACACCTAGCGTTTCAGATGGGCCGACATACATGACAGCAGTACTTAGCATTTACTCACCAGGACCAATTCTGTCATTACCTCAAAACAGAACATCGAACATCCAGATGTGACATGGGATGATCACCCACAACAACTAGATGTGGGCAGGCAGCTGGAGATAACAGAGCATGAATTCAATGGCCTTTCCCTGCTCCTGCTTTTCCCTTCCACACTCAGCCACTCACAAAGTTTAGTGCTCATCTGGCCCCTTCATAAGCCGATTCAGCTCACTAAAGGAATGGAGAACTAACGCAGGAGCACAGTCAATTGTTTTCACCTGTTTAGTAAATTAAATCAGCTATTCAAGGGCTTAGACAAGTCCAAAGAGCAAAAGAGAGAAACACTGCAATGCTATAAGCAGAGAGGGAAATGGGGAAGCAAAGCCACCTTTTTGGGTGGCAGTAAGCTGGTACATGGACTCAGATCTCACAGACTCCCTTTCAGGTATCCCCTTTTCCCTTCAGAGCAAAGAGTTCAGAGAGGCTCTTTGCTCTTTAATTACCCACCAGAATGGATCAGTGTAACCTACAGACTGGGGAGGTTCCTCTCTATTCAGCCTAAGCATCAGCCTGAAATCTACTACCGGTTAGTCCTGCTAAGCGTTTCTTGTTATCTTCTCTTCCTGACTCATCACAGCACATCTGGTCTCCCTGACAGCTGGTGCCCCTGAGATTGGGCAGGCCAGGGGATGGAAAATATACTGATATCAGTACTCCTGATATAAATAGTACTCCTGTTAGTGTAGGAGAGGAGTGGTTCTGGGGCAATTTCTCTTTGTCATCAGGCATGTTTAAGGCACCGGGCCTCCAGTGTTGGGTTAAAGAGCAGAAGAGGAATGTTGGGTTGCAGCATATCTTTCTGCCAGGGTCTTCTTGGCTTTCCTACCCTCAAGGCAGAGTGGTAGGAGGTGTCATTTGGCCCTTTGGCAATTTAGCATAAGAGCTTTGGCCATTATGGGATAGCAGCTATGTAAAACAGCAGAGCCATTCTTTCTCTCTGCTGCTCCAGGGTAGAAGAAATTTTTCCACTGATGTCCTGATAGACACGATGAGGAAAGTGATTCTGTTCCCATCATTAGATCCCTCATTGCCCATGCATAACAAGTCCGTTTCTTTAACACGTCTTGAGCATTTAGTGGCTCCCAATTAGGAGCAAACGTCCAGCCATAATCATTCCATGGCAGACATTAGAGATGTTGCTTCTTCACCGCATTTAGCCCAACCATTTCCAAGAGTGCAAAAGGAATGCAGAACACCCCTGTCCCAACCTAAGCATCGTTCACAGCCATTTTGGACAGGTAAATGACGATGCAGGGTAACTCAGAAGTGGAGAGCTATCTCCTATCTATGCAGGTCGCAATCCACTTTAGAAAAGTTCCTTATTTCTATCATTTTTGGGAAGCTTTTGCAATGCAACAGCCAGTGCCAACATGCTTAAGAATTGTTGCTTTTCTTCAAAAGAAGTTCTCTTCTCTCAACAAGTAACCTTGAACATGGGAAGTTAGCACGGAGATACATGTCCAAGTAGAACTCCATAGGCTCTAATCTGATCCTGCTTATACAGCTGCAAGGTCATTGCAATATTATTCCAGATTAATTGCATAGCAAATGAAATGCAGAAGGTCATAATATTAAGACAAAGTTGTCTCCAATATTGCAAAAGAAAGTCAAGCATTCACACACACCTGGGGAGAGCTTGGTGTCTGGGAAGTCTGGGTCCATGCAATCTAGAGGTAGAAAAGACTTTCTGGGACATAGCTTGCCTTTTTGCCAAGGCAGAGAACTTTAAGGATTGTGACATAACATAGGACATAACATTTTCCTCTTAACTGAGCAGCACCTGCAGCTAGTCTATACCCTCTTTTCCTCTGTAATTATGGCTATAACAAGGGAAAAGGGGAATGTAAACAGCTGTGCCATTTCCTGCCCAGATCTTCAGTGGCTGATTAACACTCAATGGACTGGGACAGGGAGGTATGGGTGGAGATATACCTCCATGACACCAAAATGCCTTCTTCTAGCTCTATGTCTGCTACCAATTTCTCTGGTGTTTCCCCATAGCTCCATCAGTGGTTTTGTTCTGATACCTCAATGCCCTGCTTAACTCTTGCTCAGAGACGTTCTCCCAGTCTTGCCAGTGACACTACTCAGATGAGAAAGATGTATTCAGGAAGGTTTGCACGCTTGCCCCTTGACTATTTGTCTTCCTTTTTTCTCCCAGAATGACTGTGAATTTACACTGAGTCTTCCTGTTTCTGATGTTCCAGAGGTGAGGAAAAGGCATCCCAGATAACTGGAACCAAGCGGACTAGAACACGAACACAGTAAGTACTTGCTTATTATTATATTATTATTATAATATTATTATTACTTCTGTATTCTTATAGGAAGAATCCTGTGAGAAATTTCAGAGTAATTGTAGCTGGGAAAAAAGCTCTCAGTGACTTGCCCATGTCTTGATCAGCACTCCCCTCAGACAAGTTTTCCTTCTCATGGCCTCTCAGTAGCCCCAAGAACAAGGTCATTAAAACACCCTGGTAACTCAGTGTGCCAGTGCTCTCTGCAACAGCTGGACCAAAAATGGCCCGTATTTGGTTCATCTTAATTTTTTGGCATCTCCCTGCTGCTCATCAACACCTGCATGCATTTGGGACCCAGTATAAGATGACCTCTCAATTCAGCTCTAAGCAACCAGTCTGCAATGCACATGTCTAATGCTCTGCTGGTGTGGAACCAGTATGCTGGTAATCCTGTTAGTAATGGCAGAAGCTCCCTCTAGGACATTATAACAAATAGTCTTAAACAATTCCTTTTGCTGACAACTTTATCCAAGAAACCATCTTCCCTGGAGACTTCACTCAACTTTTGACTAATCCCCTCCTTCCCTCAGGAGCTCTTTTGTTGAAGGAGATTGTAGGCAAACCCCAGGAATGACAGGTCTCTGTAAGCCTTGGATCAGCCTCTACATTCTTTCAATTGTCAGTCCCCATCTGTCCTGTTTGTACATCGATCTTCTGGTCCAGGGATCTCTCTATTAAGTGACACATGGCTGAGTTTATTCTGCAGGACCAACGTCCAGACTGTGCTGTTACATCTTCGTTGCCAAGTCAATCTTTATGACATTGCTTTCTGAAAAACAAAAGGCAGGACAGCTGCACAGTTTTGTTCTCTTCCACTGAAAGGTGACTTTTAAAAATAAAGCTCCCTGGACCAGACTCTGCCCTTGTTTTATACCCTCAAAGATTTTACTTTCTTTCACCAACCTCAAGAGCTATTTCAAAGGTCCTTGGTGCAATGGAGGGCAGAATCTGTCCCTGTTACAAAGGAATTACGGTAGGATAAAAATCCATGGCCGAAATCCCTGAATCAAAAGGGAAAATAAATCCTAATTCCAAATATTCAGCAGGGTTAGTGACTTCAGTTACTTTGCTAATTAACATCTGGTTTAAAACAAGCTCTAATCTTTCTGTAGATCCAACTACAGTTAGCTAGTACAGTAGCACATACACATAAGGGGCACTGCATTGTTTATCTTCATTTTGAGAGCCAGCATGAGAAAGGAAGCAGATTCCACTGATCCATAGATTCCTCCTCAGCAGGTAGATGGAAGGAGGTTGAACAGGGCAGAAAATGGATGGAGCGTTGGCATGGAGTATACATTACCCTGGGATAGACATCTGGCACTATCTGTTCCCTTTCTGAAATCAGAAGGAGAACAAGGGGGAGACTGTGATGATGTTCTGTCCCCTGCTGTGTGGCTCAGGGCCCACGGATTCATGGTTGAGCCTGGTATGTTTAGTTTTTTTTTGGTTTTGTCTGTTTTTATAACTTAATTCAGGCTGGCCAGTGAAGGAATGCTGGCCAATTTCATTATGTTCCCAGGAAATTCCATTCTCTCATGTGCCAGCGTGAGGCTGTTGTGCTTTAGATGCCTATCTACCTCTGATTAGATTTGAAAAAGCACACAGAACCCCCTGCTTTCCACTGGTAGCCTGTTAAAATGACAAAGAAATTACTGTTACATTTATAACCTTGCTTGCATGTCTGAATCCAGATGCCTTTTTTTTTAAAAAAAAAGTATTTTAATAATCCAACACCTTCACTTAGAGAATATCTTCCTGTAATTAACCATAGAAGAAACTTGAGCTGACGTTTAAACTTGTTTAATATGTTCTATAAGCAGCTTAGAAAAAAAGGGACACAATCACTTAGAAGCTGGGTTAATATTAAAATCGGTAATTTAAGAGTTTCCTACAATTTTCATGGTTTCCCTATTTTAAATTGCATCTTTGTGAAATACTCACAAAATCAGGTAAAACTGGCCAAATGAGTGCCCTACTTAAGTGAGTTGTCCCAGCAGCCTTAGTGGAACTGACAACCACATGTTTGTTGGCAGGATTAGTTCCTCTCTGATCACACAGAGGGAACAGCCGTGCTGTCTGCACTTAGCCGAGCAGGTGAACAGGGGAGGAGTTGAGGCTGCCTCCAAAACCCAGTGTGGCCACGAGGCTGGCAATGTCAGGTCCTTCTCGAAAGGACTCGGGGCTGTCCTGTCTGCCTGCTGTTGTCCACATGACCAGGACAGATGGGATAGAGTGAGGCTATGAGACCAGGCACTGAGTGCTGCAACTTGATTCTATAGCAGGTATGCACCATCTACCTGCCTTTGAAAATACCGCGGAGTAGCTGAGGTTTGCCTTGCTGTCCCAGCTAGGTTGCTTCTCAGCTTGGCAGACAATAGAGAGAGTCAAGCTAATATGGCCTCAGGATCAGCTTCCAGATCTGCCCTGCAGCATAGACCCAGCCAATGACACTGACTGGACACATGCTGCTAACAAATGCACAAAGTAAGCAAAGAGAGGGGATAAATAAAAAGCTATTTTCCTATAATTTCTTTCGATAACGGTGATTTTAAGTGATCTTTTGGTGATGGAGATCTTCTGTAACAAAAACAGGAGATCAAGAATATTGATGCTGGAGCATCATTTTAAAGTATCTCTTACTAAAATGCAAATACAATAAAACCAGGCATGTTATGAAATAAGGAGATTTTGCCTAGCTCTGCTCAGGTTTTGGCACATGCATAGGAGGCAGATTTTATCATAACATTAGGCCAATCTAACACAAAACAACTCCATTTCCTGAAGTTATCCCCGTGTTATGGAGATATAGTAGAAAACAGAACGTGATCTGTAGCAGAGTAACCCAAATCATATCAGAAATGCCCAGTATCTGCTTCAAACGGCAATAGCGTTTGGAGTCCTAAGGAAAAATGTCTGCAATAATAAACTCCACTTTCCAGATCAGTGGCTCACTATGGCAGGGTGTTATGACACAGGACAAATCCAAGAAAGGAGAAGCTATGGTTTCATCCCTCCAATAGAGGACTATACATATTGCCATAACGTCTATTGCGACCAGCCCCCCGTTTAAATGAGTAGAGCTCTTTGTCATTTCTGGTACTTTAATGAGAAAATTCTGTTGTGTGTGAAATCAATACAAGTAAGCTATAAAACATGAAATTAACAGACATGGACAAAAGCAAACAAAGCAATCTGGTCAGCTTAAGCAAGGTGGAAGTGAAAGGATATTTTAAATGAAGAGGCATCAGAGGAAAGGGCACTGGTCTGACATTTGGGAATATTACAAAACAACCCTCTCACCCTGCAATGCTACCACTGTGCGTTGTGCGTTGGCATCCATTGGCTTACTGATCTCTTCTCTCTAAATGTGAGAAAATTTCCCACTTTGCTCACAGCCTGGGATATGGTGATCCAGCCCTGGGTACCCATACTTTTCTCCCACCTTTAATGCGCAAAGGAATTCATGTGCGCAGGGAAATGGCAGCAGCTTGGATAGTGGCAACCACATGCTTACCAAAGAGGCTCTCGCCCATTCCTGGTTTCTACCAAAACTTGCTTGAACTTCCTGAGAGATGACCTTTCTGGTAAGAAACAAACAGGTCACAGATTTCAGGTTGCAACCTCACTGCTGGGACTGTGAGCACTGACTGTCCTGTGGAGAAACCAGATTAAAGAAAGAGCTGCAAAATGGTCCTTTTCCTTCACTGTATACTCCCCTTTCCTTCACTCCTAATACTCCCCTGTAACATTACCCACCATATAAACTAACTCAGGATCTTATTTCTCACAGTTCATTCCTCCTGATTTTTTTGGAAGAGGATGTCTTTAATCTAGGCTTCCTTCTCTAGAAACCTAATCTATGGTTTCTTTTCTTTTTTCTTTTTCTCCTTCTTGGAGCAACCAGCAAAACATTATTTGGTAGAACAGTGGTGGGAATGCAACCCGTTAATCAAAAGGATTCAAATGGATCTGTGCACTGCCAAGCTCTCTCCTTCCCACCCAGTGGAGGGGGAAAAAAAGCAAAAGAAAAAAGAGATAGAGCGAAGGCACGGAGCTTCTCTCCTTCAGCAATCTCACAAATGCAAAACCTTCCACTCCAGTGACTCCTCATTAACTTACCAAATCTGACAGTCTAATTATCGTAGCTGCTTCACGCTTAGAATAAATAAATACTAAAGTGGGTGTTTAAAGAAATTGAGCAGTGAAATTCAGTCATCTAGACAGTCAATAGAGAGAGAGTTTATTTTAAATTTTTATATTCTTATGTATTTATATCATTTCAGGAAAGATAATGAGATAGTTGTCTTTCAGGCTAATTGAGTTCCTAGGCTCATGGCTGTTTGCTGTCACCGTCTCAAACTTAGCTTTAACTTTGGTGCCTTAGAAATCTGATCACTGCATCCCCATTTGCTCTTTTCTGCTGATAACTGAGTGAAGGCAGAAGTGCACCTGAGGATGGGAAGTGACTACATGGGAGTTCCAGTCCGGCTGTCTTTCACAGCAAACAAGACAACTAAATCATCTCAGATTTGCATGTGAGAGTCTTAAAGGGAAAGTGGAAGATAAAGAAGCCTCAGATATAATTTTGCAATGAGACAAAATATGGAAAAATGTCTGCTAACCTCTGATGCAATAGAGTCTGCCCCTTGAAGGGTACAGCACTCCCCACAAGAGCAGTTCATCTCCCAGAACAATAAGACCTTTATAGAGATTCTTTGGCCTGAGATCAAGGGAGTCAGAGCATTTGATCCATGTCTGTAGGACTTTGTTTCCACAAGTCATGTGGGCCAAACTCTGTGCCAGTTGTGCTTTTGCAAGAGCTTGAGCTGGGGAATGAGCAAAGGAAACCTGCTTTCTCTGCCCACCTTCCCACTCATCCTGTGCACCTAAACAGGGCCCAGCACCTGGAAGCACAACGTCTGCTCCAGGTCAGCGCCCAGGGAAGAGCTTAGATGGGGCGACACCTCCAGAGGGCTGTGCCTGTGGCACATTGCTCTTGGAAACATCTGCTGTGATATTGCAATGGCTCTTTCATAGAGTGGTGGCTTAATGATGTAATGGAAAACCTCAGTGTCCTTCCAGTATTTACACAAGCAAATCTGCCACCACTGTGGAGATGAGGCCTGGTGAAGTGACAGGCCTGAATTTTGCCTGAATTAAGTGAAGATCGGCTCTGTCACCTCACAGAAAGGACTGCTTCTGCTTCAGGAGCGATAATCAGTTGATTTGCTACTCAACACCAACTTTGACTTATTCCCTTATTAAGACACATTACAAACCAGATTCATACACCTGATGGGAATTTCACTTTCTAGATGTCTATATCTGACTTCCAATAGCAGATATCCATTTTCTGTATACAGAGGTGGGCAAATCACAGAAGCCAAAAAATGTGAGTATATAAACCTTTCAGCTATGTAGGAGAAGCTAGGGAAAGCAGCCAACCCAAACAAGATGTCTGTGAAAGTCACCTCTTCTTTACATGTGCCCTGTGATGACATCTACCAGCACTGGCTAATCCCAACAGTAATGGGACTGTGGGCTTGCAGCCGTAACCTCCTCATTGCCTACACTTGCTTTGCATAAGTTTAGAGGCAACAGGGACTAAAAAGACAGCGCTCTGCTAACATCAAGACTGCCCCCTCCTCCTTGTCTCTGAAAAGCTGAATGGCAGGAATTTTTAGGAGACACGGTACAGTGTCATCACCACCTGGCACACTGGCTTTGAATTGTTGCAGGGAGGTGATAACCAGAGACTACTTGTACCCAAAAGAAGCAAGTTCCTCCTAGCCAAAGCCAGGATCAGATCCATGCAACAACTGTCCTCCTAGTGGGGCATAAATTGGTCTTGGTGCCCAAAAGCTATGCCGATGCTATGCCTAGGTTTGAATGTTTCCTGAGCTGTAAGAAAGGTGTCTATTGAGCCTGGACGTTTAGTCCAGTGGGGTTTGATCTGAGGTGCCAGCACAGGCCTCTCTGCTTCATGTCTCGGAGTTGTCCTGCAGCTTGTTGGCCAGACCCGTTCTTGCAGGATGTTTTCTGTGGGAGCCCGCTGATGCCAACCCCCCTGCTCACCCTCACCGCCAGTGAGCCTACTCTAAAGTATTTACGGGCAAAAGAGATGGAAAAGAAACTAAATTTATAACTAAGAATAACTAAGCATCAATTGTTAGTTACTGTGTCTGACCTCTGGCAGAGTGAGATACCTTCTCAGAGGGCCCTTTGCACTTCAGAACTGACATGGAGTTGGGAGCGCAGCTCTTACTTTCTTGATTTAAGGATCTCAGCTTTCTTCCAAAACTAATTAGTGGGACAGAAAACATTCTGCCTTAGCAGGCGGCAAAGGGCTAGACTGAAGTTTTGTCAGAGCTGCTCTAGTGTAGGGCTGCACTGCACAAAGATTATTGTCTCAGGATTGGCTTAGGCAAGAAAAAAGTAGTAAATGCTCCTGTTTTACAAAGGGACACTACTGCTGACCCCGAGACTACTGCTCCTCTCCTTTGCCATACGCAGAGGTGCTGGTGGCATGTATAGAATTAAGGCCCACCACGACTGTGAGTGGTATTTGAGCAGCTCTTTCTAGTGCATGATAAGCCAGAGCAAGCAGCTGTAGTAGATGCGCCTCTGTGGACCAGCCTGTCTCAGGGGACAGGGAGCCTTCCTCTCCTCCAGCGTGAGTTACTCTTTTTTCCAGCACTTTGCATCCAGGTGAGCATAAACAAGAGCGTCCTGTTCCCCTCTACTCCACCAGGAAGCAAAGAGCCTCTGCTCCCTCTCCCATTCCCAGGGACAGCAGCCAGTATCTAGCCATTAGCATTCCCCTCCATAATCAGAAAGATGCTACTTGGAGGGGTTCTTGTCTTTGAAACACTGATTTCCCCAATTATTTTTTCCCAGGAATTGACCTTAGAAAAATTTCCTCTGGCTTCCATCTTGTCACAGCAACTTATAAAAAGGACAGTTCTGGCAACAATTATTTTATAAAAATAGAAAATATTTTTTTTGTGGGCGCCTTTTAATTTTTCAGGTGTTGTGTCCCGCTTACTGTCACACACACCTTGAGATCACCGCCCTCTTCCTTTCACTTTCATCTCCAGTTCATTCTTTGCCCTTCTGCTTTAACTTTCTCCGTCAGAGGATGGGAACTAATAGCCAGCATCCTCCAGAACAAAGTAGGAACAGAATATATTTCAGATCTGCGCTGTGTGATCATAGCAACCGGAATTTCAAAATGATACAGTTAAATTCCAAAGTAATGTGATACCAAAATGACATAGGAGAAAAAATGTCTTACATGGTTATGGCAGTAGGGATGGCTACATGGAGAATTATTCAGAACTGACTAATTTTTACAGGCCTAATGAGTTACTCATGAATATGATCTTGCATGATCATACTGTACTTGTTTCAGCCCTATGCACTTTGATTCTGTTCCCAACACATTGGTTGCTACGATAACACCATGTAGTTTCCTGTCCATAAGGTACTTCTTGTTGCAATATGGGGGATAATAAATATGAGATGGCAGATAAACCCAGGTGAAATAAATCTGTCCCCTCTCTGGAAATATGTCGGAGAGATTGACACATTATGCCAATCTGTTTTCTCATTCCTTCTATTTCTCCTCACTCTCTCCCTTTCTCTCACATTGTCTGTCTCTGTACCTGTTTTTTTCCACACTCTCTCTCTCTCTCTTGGCACTGACACTTTCATCTTCTCCCTTGGGGATTGGAGATGTCACTGCGGGAAGTGCTTGTCCGCCTCTCCGGCAGCAGCAGAGCCCTGTGGCTTTGACAAACCTCATTTAATTGGGAGGAAGCCAGGAGGGTTTGAAAGAACTGAAACATCCACGAAACTCCTTTTATCAGGCATAATTTAAACTCTGCATGGAAAAAACCCTATATGTATAAAGAAAAGTCAACTTCCCTCCTGCTGTGAGTGCTCCCCTCCTCCCCCCCGGCACAGGCAGGCTCCTGCGAGATTCCATCTTTTCATTTTTCTAAAAGTGTCAAAGTAGATTTGTGCTCTGTGGCTGGGTGAACAGAAAAGGAATGCAGATGTCTCTCACTCGTGCACATACGCACAGAGCACCTTCAGAAGGGTGGCAGTTTGGGAGAGACGCTAGCTGGCTGCTCCTCCACTTGGGATATGTCAGAGAAGCCAGAAATTAAGTTTTCAAATAGCTTGACAACACAGTCCAAGAAGGTTTCTTCTTAATTGCCCCTATCTAAAAAAAACAACACAGTAGCATAGCTGGTGCCCAGGAGACAGGGGAGGATGCTCAGGCTGCTTGGCCCAGTACCCGATAGGGGAGAGCTTTTCCTCCTGAGGGGCAGGAGCTGGAGCCTGACAGACCCTACGTTCATCGTCAGGTTGGGGGGAGGCAGATCTGCGCGTGCTGTGTGTATGTGGCTGTGTGCTTAAAGAAAACAGCAAGGGGAAGAAGGAAATGCAGGTAATGCTAAGGGAGAACTAGTGTGACAGGGTACGAGGAACAGCCGTTGTCTCCCATCATCCACGGGGAGCTGGAGGAGCGGCCCAAGGGATTAGGGCCAGCACTTTGTGCCGAGCGGCTGAGAACCCCAGACGTCAGGAGGCACCGAGGGGAGTCAGCCTGAATACGCAGTGTGCTCCAGCCCGAGAAAAAGGCTCTGGGCTCCTGGGGTTACACGCTGGGGGAGAAACCATGTGCCTATCAAGGCCTATACACCTCAGCTTTGTAAATGTACTGTGGTCCCCTCCTCTTATTAACACAATGGTCAAATGAAAGAGAACAGAAAAATGAGCTGTGTAATTTGCAACAGGATATAAACTTTACAGCTTACCTTGGGGAGTGAGGGGACCACAGAAAAGAGGTGTCCAGGTAGATGTCAGAAACCTTTAAATTACTGAAGAAATTCATAGTAAAGGGTATGTGAAGTAGCTCTTTCTTGCTAAGGGTTAACCTACCAGCAGGAACCTGATGGAGCTGTGGAGGCAGAGGGCTGAAGAAGCGGTGAACAAGCGCACCTTGCGCAGAGATGCGCCCTCGAGGGAAGGCTGTCAGCATTCTGGAGGCCAAATCCTCCGCTGCTGGCACCCTGCTCAGCCTACAGAAGTGGGAGAAAAAATAGCACAAGAGATGAGCACAAGCCAGAAAGCTGGAACCACAACTAGATCCAGCCCTTTTCAGAGCTTGAGACAGAGACAGTGGAGCGACACAGGGGATTTGAGTAAACCCACCCCAGATATACTGTTTTTCCAGGACATTTGCTTTTCCATGTGAGCTTGATTAAGTTGGAGTAAATACATCCCCATTTCAGCTCAGATCCATCTTTTCAGAGGAAATTTGAAGATAAATTGCTATTTTGTAAAGAGAAGGTCACGAGCAAAAGGGAAAACGCTACTACAGATTACTGAGAGGATTATGCTGCACATATCATAACTTGAATATCAGAAGTTGGTGCTATGGATTTATAGTGAGAAGTGCAAGCACACGAAATAACCTGATCAACCCGCTGAGCAGGCTGGTACTACTGGTACCCTTGTACCAGCAGCGCAGCTGGGCTGTAAATGTGTTAGGGGTTCACTGAGATGAGTCTGTTCCTCAGGATGAGGGTTTAACATACATGTGAGACACACGGCCCATGCCCAGCAAATACTAACGCCAAGTGCCTGCCTCCTAGAGGAGAAACCGGCTGGGGACAAGGAAGTGGAAGGGAGAAAACAAACCAACAAGCAAACAAATAAAAATAATCATTTAGATTTACAGCTTTTACTTTGTTTGTTTGTTCTGATCATGTTTCAGCATCAGGAGGCCCAGCGGAGCAGGGCCCGCTGTGCTTCCTCCCTCTGCCCCCCCCAGTGCTCCCCGCCAAGTGACATCATGGTGCCGGGATCCCCCCTCCCTGCTGTCCCCCTCCCTACCGTCCCCGACCTTTACACTGCCACATCGGACATCTGACTTACTGGCTTTTTTGTTTTGAGGAGATAAAATGTTAGGAAAAAAAAAAAAGAGAGAGACCCTACGAAACACAGCTTTGTAAAAGGGATCCGGCCTCGCTGTGGTAGGTAACTGTTGAATTGTCACCTCCAGCGAAGCAGCCTGAGCCCCTGCGGGCTCAGCACCAGGAGCCGAAGCATCCGGCCTGAGGCTGCTTGCTCGAGCTGAGCCACAGGCTGCCTCCTGCAATGGCCCGGCTGCGCTGCAGAGCCTCTGCCTGCTCGGTGGCTGCTCCCGCAAGCTCCCGCGCCGGGCAGCGCCATGGTTCAGTGTTTCCCACCATTGCTCCAGGCTTCCTGCCAGCAGCCAAGCTCACACAGAGCTCCCCTTTGGTTTCTTAATCGGCCATGGAGAGTCATGGCTGAGTGGGGTGAAGCAGCTCTTGCCTTCTCAAGAGCTGAGCGTGCTAATGTGGCAGCGTGGCCATACTGCTATAGGGACTCTGAAACACAGCTCTGCTGCAGAGGCGCTGGGCCAGCCCGGCAGTATGGAGCTGTAATGCAAGCTGGCAAGGGATTATGGCCAAAAAGCAGAAGTGCGATACGGCAGCGTCACGGCAGTGTTTCAGGGACTATAGTAATTTCTTTGTTCAGAATGAGAAAGGGCCTGTTCTGTCCTAGGGCCCGTGTTATCTGGGTTTGGGACACGCTGAGCTTTGTGTGTTTCTGAAGATGTGTGTGACAGCGGCTGGCACTGCAGCAACCTGTGCTCTGCTGAAAACTGCAACCTGTTTGTTCAGCAATTCAGAACAGAGTCTGGGAACCCAGCTCTGTAGGAGAACGTGCTTCCCTGCGAGCAGGGCTGAATCAAAGTCATGAATTGGACAGATAATGAACAACAGTGATGAAAAATGTGGTTACATCCTCAAAGAATATTTGATTCTTGACTTACATAGGAACACAGTCCTGAGGACAGACCCTGGCAACAATCGGTCTTTTTGTACATATCTGTAAAGCCTGTAGCATGGTAGAGCCCCCTCAAAATCTATAGTTGGGGGGCGGTTCTATTGTAAAAGCTCTCTGAGCTAGGTTAGGGTGCTTTGCCTGATTATAAATTTCTTTCATAGATATGTATGTATGTACGCATGTATACATACACACACACACACACATATAAATATATACATATGTGCATATGCTTGAAAGCCACTCCCTTCTCTTAGCACACTGGAGAATGATTGGGAGGTGTTGGTGTACCTGCTCAGGCTGAGGTATTTAATCATGGCCCTAGTCTTGTAGCTTTTGGCCACTGAAGAATGTAAATTTTCCCATCCTAACTAATCACAAGATTATTTCATGGTCTTCTATAAATGCTGTCCTAGTGTGTCCTCCTTAACACTTTTGAGCAATGTTCTTACAGTCTGTTTCTAGAAATGAGAAGTGGGACAGTGCAAAGTCCGCCTTGAGCGGGCCTGGGAAGGCATTACCCTTTGAAGCAAACTGTGCACCTCAAAAAGCTACACATAATGTCACTGAGTCACTATTTATCTGTGAATAATCGCTACTCCTCTGAGAATAATAAACCCACTATGTGCTTACCTCTACTCAGAATCCGTTGCTTAACTCATGTTAGATCTGCTTATTACAACAGAACCACCTCACTCTTTCTGAACTTGCCAAAAGGGCTCATTTCAAGGTAAATGACTGCATAAAGAAATAAGTAACCCCAGAGGCCATTTTGACATTGCTCTTGTAGGTAGCTTACCTGTCATAGATCATTCGGAGTCTCTGAGGTCTCCTGGAAACAATCAATTCTAGAAAGTTTAATATGCAATCACAGGATTAAACAAAAATCAAGCCAAAGACCATGCATTGAGCCTTTACAAAAACATGTGCTAAGAATTTCAAAGGGCCCTATAGAATCTGTCATCTTAGTATTTATAAATATACATTATTCCTATAGGGCCTGAGTACCAGCATTGATGTTATTAATAAGGCTGTTCCACTTCTGTAACCCTTTCCTTTCACACGTCTGTGAGTATAGGCCTTGGGCCTGCTTCTATTAGATCTTACTCAGTGGGAGTCTTCGCTTTGCCCTCAATAACAGCAGTATCCGTCCCCAAAGCCTTCGCCCTACGGAAGCAGAGAAAGGACTTTGCAGGCCTGAATCCCCAGCAATTGTCTCTGTTTGCCAAGGGGCTGCCGAGGTTCGTGTACTCCCATGTGGGAATTAGGGGGCTTTTCTGCAGGGATCTGACTGAAAGGCTGGGGGGAGAGCAAAGGCTCTTGCATCCCACTCTCTTTCACCGACTGTTCTTGCAGTCATTCCCTCACTAAAGTTGTCATTTATCAAGTTTCCCATTTTCATGCATGCTTTGTACTTACTGATTCAAACACCTCTACCAGACTGGATCTTTGCAGACGTTGCAATTTTGGCTAGGGCATGTTGTTGTTCATGTTTTTAAAGGACACATTAGTAAACATTATGGAAGATGTGAAGGAGTAAATTCTGTAAATATTTTCTTATAAAACATGACTTTGCTTGAGCTTAGATAAGAATATAATGGCATGAGCCTGGAAGATTCCCCTTACAGCTGAATAACAGAGACATTTTCTTGTAAACCATAGGGAAATTTCTAAGCAATGGAACATAAGCTGAGCCCCATAGAAAGCTAGCCCTGTTCAGGGCTTACCTCTGAGTCTTCCCTGTTCTGTGGATTTTAGCCTTTGCGAAATTAATAAATGGGGTTCGTGGATGGTAAGTACCCGTAAAGCTATGTGAACAACAAAGCCCTAATGATAGTTCCTATTGTCAGATCTCCTGCAGCTGCAAGGCAGCACATAACGTGAAGTAGTGGAGCATACTCATTCCCAGAAATAGATTCATTCCCAGAGCATCTGTCTTCTATCTCCCCACCTCTTCTCATAATACCTGTCAGAATATAACTGCTTGTGCAACATCAACATTTCAAGACAGTTGTTTGATCAATCAGTAGGCACCAAAGTTGCTGGAGAGAGGAAGGGAAGCAGAAAGATGATGTGAACAATGGTCTAATTTTTTTGGGATGCCTGGCCAGAAGTGTGAATAAACTGAAAGGTTTAATAAACTGAAAGTTCTCTGATACCAGTCTCACTGGCTTGGGAATGTCCACTACCCACACTAGGGTTGTCAGATCCCAGTTTTATAACAAAACACAAACATACGGAATGGGTAGAGAAGATCCATTTGGTACCAGATCAGCTATTTATTCAGGCCTGATGAAAAAACACCAACAGTAGGGGACTGGAGGCGTCTAGAGGCCCAGTACAGGCTAGAGAGCATCGGAAAGCTGTAATTTATACCCAGCTACAGTCTCCTGAGTGCCGTTCATGACAGCTGAGGTGAAAGGTGCTTTGGCCACGGGGAGGAGGTGGGAATAGCCCTCCAGCCCAGGGCTGCACTGGTGTCCCCCTGGCAGCAAGATCACTGGGATCACTAGACAACCTTGGCATTAGAAAGGGGCTTGTGTTACCCAGTACTAGGGAATCTGGCCTCCCTCTCTATTTGGGAACATGCATAGCTGCTTAAGCCAGCTGTATCCTTCAGAGACAGAAGGTGCCGGCTGAGCCCTTCTGCCTTCCCGCCGGTGCAGCAGTCCCGGAGCACCAGGCAGCAGCAAGCCAGGCCTTGGGGCTCGGTCACTCCTGCCTGGCTTGATGCACAGGTAGTTCAAAAAAGTACAAATGACTACACTTTCAGCACTTAACCTTTTCAGCAGCAATGTTTCAGCATTAAGCTAGGCAAGCAGGTTGTTAAACCTGTCAGTTACAACACAGTGTGAAGTTATAACTGTGAAGTAACAGTTCACAATGGAAGTATGTTCCTACACCCAAATACTACGGTAATTGCTAAAGCACTGAATGGCAGTATAATCTGGGATGAGATTCATGACTGTTTGGTGCTAGAGCTCTGGAAATACCACAAATATATGTGGTTTGAATATATTAGTATCCTGAATAGCTCCCTCCCAAATCAATCATTGAGATTAACCCTGGCAGCAGATTCCTCTTGGATCCTTGTTAACATTTTCTCTGGATCCACCTTCCTTCATTTTTCCCCCTCAACTTTAATATATGTGTAGAAATAAATTGTCCATACTGAGAAGAGATGTAATGTTTCCAGGAAGAATAGAAGCAAAACAATTTTAAAAATGGTTTGGAAAGGCATAACCTTTTTTTGTGTGAGGTAGAATTTTTTCTCTCTCAGCAGAGCTGGCCAAAAACTTTCAGATGCTGTAACTTTCTGCCAGCAAATTCAGATTCAATGAGATGGAAACATGCCATGGCAATATATCAGTTTCCTCTAATATTTAATAGAAATGTCAAGATGACTTAAACATTGTACTTTAATTCTATTGAAAACTTTTATCATTAACACTCTTTAATGAGTTTAGCATAAGAATTAAAAATATGTAAGTTCAGTTGATAACATCGAGGCAAAATGTTTCAGTGATGTCTGAATGAAACGTCATTTTGTCTTTGTGAAACACATTTTCAGGATTAACATTGTAAAGAGAAAACATGATTTTCTTTGCATTACAGATAGAGATACCAGTTTGCGTACTGGGAACTGGGAGGAATACCTGAATTATAATCTTCACTATGTCTTGAGCAAGCCTCTGACTTTAATTTATCATGTATATAACAGGGAGATTAATAATTATCTACAAGGGTAGTATAAGAGTCAACGAGCCAACTGCTGCTGTCCCTGTCCAAACAAATCTCTCAATTCTGCTTGAGCGAGGACTGCCAAACTTGCCATTTTGAGTACAGAGAGCTTTGATAATAAATGGAAGATATGGGTAAGAAAACACTGTGTCTCTACTCAAGGATTTAATGCAGTTAACTAATCCACTTTAAATCAGTTCAGATTAATCTCCTGACTGACCCCGTATAGACAAACCCATAGGGACTTCTGAGGCCCCATTGTGTTGAGGAGGGTAAGAACAGACCAGTAAATATTTTCCCTACTGTAAAGATTAAGACCAATCTAAAATTGTAAAACAGTGTAAACAGTTACTCTTTAAAGGTAAGAGATAAAGCATATTTGGATATCATTCCAAAAAGTGGATAAACTGCTGATTTAATCATCTTCCAGTGATGATATACACAAAAAATAATGGGATTGTGTAGGGCTGATTGGCTTCTTTAACAACATAAGTAGATCTGAAAGGTAGTGGCTGGGTTTGTTATCTGCTATCAGTATGCAATACAGGGTGTGCTAATGAGGAAATGCCTTCCTATATGAAAAGCCAGGTGGAAATAGCTAATGAACTGATAATAAGGCAAGCAAGCCAGAGGACAAATGTTAAACTTTCCTAATTGATGAAGAAAGAGAAAGAGGATGCCAAGCGCTGCTGGATGATGGCAGTGGTATTGCAGACTCCCAGAGACAATTCCTCTCATTAGAGAAATCTCTGCCGCTCCAGGAGCGAAGCAGAGCTCTGCCGCTGGGGCAGGCTCTAGCCTGCCGTCTGTGCCCACCGCCAGGCACATGGGAAGGTTCCCCGCAGACTGGCCAGCATATACTGCGCTTTAGTTACACTGCTGCTTTTCCCGTCAGGATCAAAGCCATATGCAGTTTATTATGACAGTAAAAATTTCATCGTTTTAGAATTCAGTTTCTAGCACTCCCATTTGTTAAATGAAGCATCAGCATAAAAAGTGAGATAAAAAAATAAACACTTAGAGTTCAGACTTCATCTGTACTCTCAAAAATGTCATTTGAGGTCTGTGTTCAGTCTGCTTGTTGCCTCCATCTGCTGGTGGCACCTTGGAAAAGCAAGAGATACCAAAAGTCTGCGCTCAGGAGGAAAAGTTGGCTGCGGAAAGCGTCTAAAGTTCATTCAGCGTAGCAAAGCCTGCAGACATTTGGAAAATTAAGCTTACTTTAAAATTCATTGCTACATCTGAAAAAGAAAAAGTGTAAAACTAGTGCCTGCTGAATGACATGATAGTACCTGATGTAGGAAACCGTGTTAGTCAGTCTGTGCGATCCATCAGTGAGTAAAGCTCACTCACAGCAAGTTACAGCTCACTCGTAGCAAGTTCCTTGCAAGTTGTAGAAAAATATATGCTGTTGCCTCCTCTTTGAAATCCAAATGTCAGCAAAAGGAGACACAAAAGAGTGTGCTGGGCACTCCAGTATTCCCAGTTTGGCAAAGCACTAGCTTAATGTCGGGGGCTGTGATTCCTAATCCTTTCCTGCCCTTGACCCCTGCTGTCTAGATTCAAACTTGTAACCATTAATGGGACTGGATCAAGACACTGGCCCTCTGGTGTCACCAGTGGTGTTTAGAGGGGATTTAAACTCCCTGCTTTTCAGCGCGGTGAAATGAACACAGCAGTAGATTAATGCAAGGATTTGAGCTCACACAGCATGAGAGCTTTCAAAAATAGTGTTAACAGAGCTACAACTGCCTCTTTCAGGGGAAGCAAAATGAGGGGAACAGAAAAAATGAACAAACACAGGGCAAAGCCTCGTCAGTACGGGCAGGGCTCCTGAGTGCCGGGGAGCCGGGGAGAGGGCCAGGGCGCTGAGACCTGGGGCAAGAGCTCGCCCAGCCCTTCGTGTTCTTCAGGAGCTGGGTCTGAAGCCGGCGCTGCGATAAACCTCTGCTGTCAGGCTTCTCGGTTGTGTGCAATTCGCTACTTAAAGCGTCTCTCCTGGAGAGACTGGGGGAGATCACAAGCTGTGGCGTTGGCCAAGGAAAACTTGCTTGCCCATCCTCCCTGCTCATCTGGGTTCACACACAGGCTGAGTTTTTGGCAAACTGTGGGGTATGGCCACGAGGCCCATTTCTGAACTTCTCTGTGCAAGGAGGCACAGGGCTCAGGGTGGACCATTGCTCCTTTGCACAGTTCATCCCTGGCCAATTGCCCATAGTGGGGGGCCGGGGAGCTGCTCTTCCCGCAGCTACCTTATGTGTGGCCAGCTCATAGACCCACACAGTCCATGCTGGATCTCCTCTTCAGAGTTTGCAGCAGGATGTGCTTGAGTCCTCACTTGTGACAGAAAAATATCTAAAGGTTTCCAGCTTTCATTTCAAAGATTCCTACTAACCCACCTGGCCCAGGAACCCTTCCAGTAACAACCTCAGTCTGGGGCTGAGCCGACACTGCTGAATCCAGTGGGAGCTTTGCCATCAACTTCAATGAGAATAGGATCACACCTCAGCGCTTTGTTTTGCGCTGTGTTCATTCTCAGCCTCGGGCAGGAACCTGTTTGTTTGTTTGCTGCCTGTGCTCACTGCGAACATCAATAGGACTAGCTAAAAGCATTCAAGCCATCGGATTTAGGGAAGCGCTAGAAAGTTTGTTTGCTTATCTGTACTGTCCCAGGCACTTGGGATTCCCACAACTGGGCTGGAAATATTCTCAAGAGGAATGGTTTTCTCAGGCAGGCCCCACAGCTGCCATTGGGGCTGAGGGTATCCTGGGGGATAACAGCCTTGGGCTTCAGGGAGGAGAGGGGAAGTGCACAGGGGCATGTGAATGGCAAATAGCTTTAAACAAAGAGACTAATTTGTTCTTTCTGGCAGACCCATCAAAAACTGGCTTGACTAAGTCCATGACTCAGTAAAGAGTCTAGCCCTATATGACTAGCCTTATTCTCTCCAGACTGGTTTGTGTGTTGCAGGTTTGAGCCAAGTGCTTGCTTCCAGTGCATAGCTGGAGCAGCTCAGAGCCCCTTGGGCAGGTGCTGAGGAGTGGGAAGGGATGCTTTCTCCCCAGCTGACACAGCAACTGCCCCAAACACTGGCTCAACACCCCTCTCCCATGTGCCCGCCAGCATAGTGGGGTACTTGCACAGGAAAGTGTTTGCTAGTTCCGGCATTTCTGATGTGCTCCAGCCACAAAAGCGGCCAGCAGCACAGGATCACTGTACAGCACCGGTCAGTTCTGCCCACTCGAGTCCGCTAGGGAAACTTTCTATCAAGTCTGAAAGCAATTCAGACTTGAAAACAGCTTATGATGGCTCGACAGGTCTTTACTATTTCCATGCTGCCTAGATGCCTGTCTTCTTCCCAGCCTAGCCGCTGGCACCCTCCACAGCTGCAGGGGACAGCACGGCTACTCAGACAACACAGAGCTAACAGGGAGTTACGCTCAGGGCAGTCTGGGCACTCAAGTACTCTGTGCGGTTTGCGCTAGTTACTTTACAAGCGTAGCGTTAATGCTAGCTCTTCCAAATTGTCCCTCTGCATAGTGTCTGGGATACATAATCTTCCTCGATGTTGAAAGCTTTTGGCCTTGTATGAGCAGATGACTGTTGTCAAAAAATTATTTGTGATCAATTTGTCCCACACATGAGCATCTCTTTCCTTCCAGAGTACCCGTGTACAACTTGTAGAGTATCCAGCTGAGCTTTCAACAAGTTAGAGAAGAATGTGCTCCCTCCAACTGTCTGCTCTGTGCTTGCTCCCTATCCAAATTAAACTGGCTGGGGACAGCGACACATTCCCATTTCACGCTGGCTTGATTAATGTGTCTCAGCTAATTGTGTGAGGGATTCCAGTCCTTTTGGCTGTGAGACCAGGTTATTGTTCAGCCAATGGCGGCTACCATGTGAAAATGGGGGCTGTTTAGTGTTCATGCACCAGAATCAAAGGAGGGGCATCTTGGACTGGGTCACAGAGCAACACCCACTTCTTTGAAAAGATGTTACTATGCTCTACTAAACCTGTAAACCTCTTGCTCAAAGCACGTCTTTTCCCTCCTCCTCTCCCCTCTGCTCTTTTTTTTTCCTTCCAGATAGACAGACCGTCCCCACCCCTCTCCTAGGGTACGAGGGAGAGAGAATGGCTAGATTGCAGATGGATGGATTTCACATTCTAGGGTTTTTAATATTTCACTTTTATATTTCTCTTAGAGAATGATCCTGCTGAGAGGCTGAGAATCAGTGCTCATCATTTCCCCCTCACTGACACTTGAATATATTTTCCCAAGAGAAAACATTAAACAAAAAGAGAGAGAGAGAGAGGGAAGACAGAGTGAGAGTGAGAGAGAGAGTGACTGAGCTTGCTTTTCAAAGCATACTTCTCAACCTGCCCACATCAAAATAAGAGACAACTGGCCCTTTGAAGTCCAGGACACAGACTTCTCTACCAGCCCATGTGGAAATAAAAGAAGCCAGCTTTATAAATCACACAGATTTCTCACCTTGCCCACATCAAAATCAGGGACAGTGACCTTTAAAAATGAGGTTTAAAGGCCCCCATACCAATCTCCATAAAAATAAGGAGAGTTCAGATAAACTATGTCTCCAGGAACCTGTCAGCTTTTCCAGTCTTAAACAGGAGACATTGGTCCTTTACACAGAGGAGCGGGGACTGACTGAATTGCTAGCCTTTGAAACAATGAAATCTTCCATCAGCCTAACACGTATCTAGCTCTCAGTAAGGCAGCTTTGGCATGCTTGTGTCTTTGCTTGTATCCCAGTCCATCAGTCCTACGCCAGCACTATTTTTGTCACATAGCTCCAGGAGTTTACTAACACCGAAGCACATAATGTTGAAAAAGCACAGATGTTTTCACAGTGAGAATTACTGGTTCAAAAATTATTAAATAGTTGGCACATCAGAGAAAAAGCTGACGCTCTGGTGAGTTAAATCCTACCTGGCTTATAGTTGGGGAGCTTGGAAAGTCCTGGCCAGGTGTCCTCAGTTGGGACCCCCAATACCTGTGCAAAACAAGAGACTGAGAAGAGCGCACTTCTCTTTACAGCAGATGCTTTTCCCAACTGTGAATTTGGACCTGTTTTTGAATTTCCAAGGTGACTGGGCAGGGCGTTTCATTCTGGACCTTTAATGAGTTTTCATGCCAAATCAGAGAATAAGTTGTATTTATTTAATTGAAGTGAGCTGTATTGTGGGGATTGTTTCACCCATTGTGTGTGCACCCTGAATCCAGCTGTAACCTCTCTGTTCTGTGCTATCAAATAAAGCAGAGCAGAACAGTTATTCTGTACTTGCTGTTCTGCTGTGCTTCCCCAAGCAGGCATTTTTTTCCTCCAGTGAAAGGTCTTGGTGCAGCTGAGTTCAGTCTGCTTTGACAGAGGCATAGGTTCAGCCGGAAAGGCGTACATTTACAATGTCTGTATTTCAACAAACACTGTAAGCTGGTATAAATTGTTGCCGTTTTCTAACTATTTGTTTCTCCTCCCATGAACCAGCTGAGGGAACCAAACCAGCTGATTTTGTTTAGTTTTGTTGGGAGATTCTATTTTAAATATTATGTGGCAAAACCTTTTAGTCATTGGTTTGGTGCTTGCCACATGTTGGGCTCAGCCACAGGAGCACGCTGGCGGCATGCTGCAGCCTTACACAGCCCACAGGGTCCTTCTTCAGCACAACGTTAATCAACAGTGTGCAGTCAAAAGCAAACCCTATATCTGACTGCTTGAAATTTGAAGGATCTTAAGTTTAATCTCAGGTTTTCTTCCCCTCTCTCCTCCCATGCCACGAGAGAACTGGAGACATTGCAGCCCTCATTTCACTCAGGCCATGCTTTCAATAAGCAACACTGCTGGCCTAAGTAGCTCCTTCTTCACCTCTTTCCCATCCTGGTCCTGTGTCATCCCTTCATTGGTACTAATGCTACTGTTTGTGCAGCCGCATGGTGAACAGGGCAAGTAAACTGTTCTGCTTTAAAGGAATCCAGGGAGAAAAATTGGTTATTGGTTCTCCAGTTCATGTAGCCCCATGTACAAGTGAGGGGTAACATACGGGCAGGAACGAGTAGCCAGGGTGGGGTGGGAGGGTGGAGACTGCTTCAGGTGGCACTTGCCTCTAAAAGAAATGGTGATGAAATGACAGCAACAGATAGTCTTGATGATTCAACAGGATCATTTCATAGAATGGGGATTTTTGAGCTATCTACCCATATGGTGTTTGAGCCAACAGTCCTGAACGGAGATTAGCATGCCTGATGAGACCACAGAATCATACGCACAAAGGCAGACTGTCTCTGAACTGGTGCAGGGTGCCTCTACTATTGCTATGTGAAAAAAACAGACTATTAGAAAAAAGTAGGAATTCCCGTTCTGAACCTTACTCACTGCAAAGTGTCTCAGGTTAGGCACTGAACTCCTCTAGGAGCTTTGAAATCTTGGCCTAACACATATTACACAGCCTCATTCCAGGCTGTATAATAACATAAAACCTTCTGTGAGAGGCACTAATTATTTCATGGCTCTTAAAGCTTCCTCATGATTTTTAAATAAGTTTTTTTTGTCTTCCATAGCACAAAGCCTACTAATCACAGTATCAGTCATAATACCAGAGAAATGACGATAGGGCTATAATCCTCCAACTGCAAAACCACAGGAAATGTATCAGGAGATTTTGGAGCCATAAGTGGAAGGATACCCTTCATGCACACTCAGGAAAACTGTGCCCTGCCCTAGCTTTGAACCCTATTAACTGGCCAAGTATGGATGGGGTTTTTTTTCTCAATAATTCATTTTTTCACTTTCTATGAAAGTCCATTTAAATGGACTGAACTCAGGTCTAATAACTCTGAAGTTCACAGAACTGCTTCTTTGTCTTTCTAACACATTCTAGCCAAAAGCACAGAGGAAAGCCCTGTCTAGCAAAAGCGTTTCTGGAGGAAGGGATTAAGAAGGCAAAGCCTGACCTATGCAGGCTTGAGGCTCTAAAGCCCTCTCTCCTCACTTCCCAAGTTGTCGTTTTCTCTACTTCCTCTTGTGATCAGCTGCTGCTGGGAAAGCCTCCCAGAAAGCCTGCAGAGGAGTAAATCCCGCAGAGATGTAAAGGGCAGGTCCCTACAGCAGAACCCAGTAGGAAGCCACGGGTTCGTCTTTCTGAAGAGTCAGTAACAAACAGAGTCAGCAATAAGCAGTCACTTATGCAGCCATGTACAAAATCCACTAGTGCTGGTAACTGTCTCCATTTCACTCCCCAGTGCTGAGGACTTAGCTCTGTTTCACCATCTTAAGAGGCTGGTGAATATCTCTGCTGCTCTTCCTTATTCATTGCTGCCTTTATAGAGGAATTTACCACCCTCTCCATTACGGCAAAGCAGTCTGCAGGGCTGCAGCATAAACTGGATGACACAAAATGTTCCAAGTTAAAATGAAAAAGGACATCCAAAAAACCCCAGGGCCTTGACGTTTTCAAGGCAGGTTAAGAGCAGTATTAGCACTTCTTTGTGAGAATAGGGTGTGCTGTATCCTACAGTAAGTAAGGGAGTTAACAAGAAGGAACAGAATTTGCAGTACTTGCACACCTTTTATGCCTTCTTCAATTTGATGCCACTTTAATTGGCTTTAAATTTTTGATAAGACGACAAACATCAAAGGAAAGTCATTTGATTTACTCCTATGCCTGAAAGAAAGTTGCCAAATGTAAAATGGGTTACAAAGTCTGCTGTAAACTTGGCAGATTGGACCAAATTTTTTCTGCTATTCGCAGGACCTATGCTCAGGACTTGAAATTAAGTAGGGAGCTGGAGCAACAGATTCTTTTCTCTCACATTTCAGGGTATGTTTTACTCACCGCCCAGATCTTCTCCAGTTGTTCGCGGGCACCAGAAGTTCCTGCAAATATAGGCTGGCCCTGGACCATTTCAACAAATACACAGCCTGCACTCCTGCAAGAAACCCAAGGTATTAACTCATTCGCATACACGGTATGTGCAATATGAGAGGGGGTGGAGGGGGAAGAGGGAGAGAGAGAACAGTTGTTGCAACGGAAATTAGAAATCCTAATTCGCAGCTTCAGAAATCCTGATATGAGCTGTAGAGCCTATATATATTGTATCTCGTGTCTGTATGGGCAGTTTTGAACCATAGGGGTTGCATACCCTACCCATTTGATCTAGTGAGTGCGTGTGTGTTTGAGGGAGGGGCAGGAGATGGGGTGTCCGTATATACGCAGACAAATACAGGCTTAAGTGAAAGCTGCTATACTTCTGCAGTATGGTGGTAGGCAGGGTACAGTATGAGAAAACCCTGCTGATTGTGGGAAGTCAGCAAGGCTTCCTAGGGGAAGAACCATGCTACACATCGCTGGTCTTGCAGCGCTTTCTTCGGCATTTGCAACTGGCCCTTGTCACAGACTGCATGCAGTAATCAAAAACTTGATCCAAGCCCTACACACTGAAATGCTTAACCGAAAAAGCTGATAAGTAAAATAGGGCAGCAACAGGCTAGCGTTCATCACGTTCACATCCTTCGCAGATGAATATTTTAGAACAGAATAATCAAAGTTCCTGCTCCCATCTCTTTTTTTCCATTAGCACTGCCCACCAAAAAAAAAAAAAAAGCTTCGCCAGCAAAACAAGACGAAACAATATCCTTGGAAGAGAAACCCACTAAGCACTGTCTTTTCTCCAGCACCAAAAGATTTGTTTCAGGTCTCTTTCAATCTGTTACAAACCTATCCAAAAAAGGCAGTCAAGGTAGAAGCCTGTGGAATGCTAGGTTCTTTTCCATGAGAAAAAGATGCAAAATTTACATGGTAACAGTAGGAAAAATAAGCAGGGAACCACTACACAATATATTGGGTTGAAGGCTACAGTAGATGCAGAAAGAGCACAGAGGCACTAACCACTGGAGAGATTTTCCTTTAGAAGCAATTAGCTCTTCACTGCAAAGCTGAGGGCACGATTTCACAATATAAAGAAATCAGTGGCAACACTAAATTAAAGTAATCCTATTTGTACTCCAACCCTAACTCTGTGCTTGTGCCAAGGCAAACCATCTAGCTTACAAAAATCACCAAAGCCTGCAAAAAATGCTTTATGTTATTGGGATGGATTAGTGCGGGTGCCAATAATGATGAGATACTTGTGGCCAGGATAGGCTTATCTATTTGCAAGAATGTCCATGTCTTATTGTATGGTGTAAAACTCAGCTCATTTACTTTTTTTTTTCCCCACTCCAAACATTTTCTGGGTTTCCTGTCTTTTCACTATATCCCATCTCTGCCCTTCAGGTTCTAGGCTGAATCTTCTTCTGTTATACCAGATTGGAGTTCTTTAGGTTGAAATGTTGACAGTCCAGCCTTGTCTAACAGGCTCTGAAAGAATAATTTTCATTTGCTGAGCTACAAGTAGTAATCTCTTCTGGTCATCTGTACTGATGTCTTACTCCTCACATCTTGTTTTTGGAAATCCTGAAGATGCTTTTCTATCTGGCTGTGGTCAGTGGAAAGCCTGACATGCAGCTCATCTGTAGCATTCATTTTGGTCATCCTCACACATCAGGTGACGCCCAGTCTGTTTCCAGATCCATATCCAACGCTGTTTTCACAAACACCTCTGCTGCACTTTCACTTAGCTTCGTGTACCTTAGCCTTGGGTCTTATGAGCTTAGCTCCTTATTTGTCTGATATGCTCTCACAGGGTCCAGGTGTATCATGAAACTTAACTCACAGCTTTTGCAACACAGATTTGTGTTTCATAGCGCTACCTTATCAGTTGTTTTGGAACCCACAGACTGACTCCACTGAGACCAGTGTCATACTAAAGCTCTGTTTTCACAGCTGATGTACGTGCCCAAATGGCTCACCCTGTTTTGCAACCACATATGCTGCTGTAATCCACTGATTTCATTGTACAAGTTTAACTGCATACTGTCAATGTTCATTTAGTACTCTTGATTTGTGCTGAGAAGGGAAGCAACTCTATGCGGTTTTGGAGCAAATGGTCCTGAGGTTCGCCCACAGTTTGCATTCTGAAACTCCAGCTGGCAATGGCCATTCGATGGGAAACAGCAGCCACTGCAGAAACTTCACGTGGACTCTGTACAGCCCTCAAATGAGAGAGCCACAACTAGACTTTCTGTAGTGATTCTTTCTAAAGAACAGTGCTGGCTGTGCTGGTTCCTAACTTGAATTTAACACCCTGAGAATCCAGGCATTGGAGGTACGTGACACTTATTTACGGAAAGGGCTAGAGATTCTCCCCTGCTAGTAACAGCAAAAGTGCCCTGGTCTTCATGACCTAAACTGCTCTGATGCAGAGGTCGAAGGCAACAGAGTTCATGCGGCAGACAGAAAACTGGAACTGCTGTGGTTTCCATTACTGCTAAGAAGGCATAAAATCCAGACAGGGCAATAAATGGAAGTAAGAACTAGATGCCTTTTTTTCTAGACTCGGCTAACATTGGCTAAGAATTACCCAAGGGCACAGGGTTCAAACATCCAAATCTAATGAAACAGTCTTTTCACTAATGGGCAAGCTGTCAGTCTGAGGAGAGGAACAACTTCTAGGTTGTTACAAATTCGCCTTCCGATAGAGCTCTCTTTTGTATTCATGGTTTATTCCCATTATCTCTGAAAGCCTTTAAACCTCTGTGTCTCTAATAAAGACAAAACTGTCAGAGCAACCACAACTGCTGGAAAGGAAGGACTTTTTGTTTCCTGCAGTGAGGCTTAGCTGACCGCTGCCTTTAATGCCGCTTGATGCTGTATTGATTCATCAGTGGCAATTATGACTGTTTCCATCTCTGTGTTTTCCCAGATGAAATATACTTTTCCTTACACAAAAAGGCCAGAAGTAGATAGAACAGCTGACATATGGGCACCCCTCTCTTTTTGCAGGTATTTTTGTCTATTTTTTAAAGTAGGACTTTGGAAAAAAGGCCTCCTGGGTCCTTCATTTCACCTTCTCTGTAGAAGCCTCAACTTTCCCTTTGAGGTAGGAGATTTATGGCATTGTAAGGATCCTTCTCTTAACCAGGATCATTCAAAATACAGCTTCTACTTTTCAGTATTTCTAAGATTTATTTCTAACCTACGTTAGAACTGTTGTTTTGTTTTTCCCTTTTTCCTTCTTCCCCCCTGATGCTCATTCTTGAGGAATTCTTATTCTATGTGAATCTACCTAAGAAGATTCGTGTGATGTTCCTGGAAGATTATACTAGGAAAGCTTGACTGAAGAGAAGAGCTGACTTTAGGCACTCATGACATTAGCAGCTACAGAAAATCAGCTCTGCACATTCATCAAGTACTTTTTGTTAAAAAAAAAAAAGTCTCCATGATACGCAGTGTAATCTTCCTGAAACGTTCTGTTAGTCTCCCTGAAATCCCTTAACTGAATCCTCTAAAGTCTTGAAGAGACAGTGAGGGAGAAAGAGAGAGAGAGGGAAAAGATACAGAGATTAAAGTAGCTTTACTAGTTAGTCCAAGAGCTAGTGAGTCTCCTTCTATATTTCTCTCTTCATCTATTCAAGGCCTCATTCACTTCCCATGTGCCTCCCACTGACAGTATTGCTGCTCAAGCACACTATGCATGAATTGCCATAATGTTTTATTTTGTTATAATTGGTTTCTTTAAGTCAAAGCTTTAACACCCACTGTCTCGTGCCATTGCCAAGGGCATTCTGACCTGCCTTCATGTAAATTGCAGCATCCAGAAGAAATAGCGTTTTTTTTTTCTTTCTTCCCGATAGACAAGTAACATCTGTGTGAATTCACATTATTTCCTAATAGACAAAAATTGAACTTAAATGCAGCGTACATCAAGATAATAAATGACCCTTGTTGGAGGAAGTTACTGAATAGAGCTCACTGAAGTACCTCTATTCTCTCAGCATGCCATCCATGACATCTTTCTTTAGGGCAAACACTTTGAATGTTGTTATTATAAAGAGGCATTATAACAAAGGTGCCGGTAGTGTGATGTAGTTCAGTGACTACCGACTGAGAGTACTGTGCTGTTAGAGATGGACAGAGTGCTGGATGGGATCTTTGTAGACCAGTCCCATGTTGCTATGCGGTACATTAGAGCGTGGTTGTGTAGTGGGGGTGTTGGTTCTGCGCAGCCAGAAATGCCAGGCTTTGTGTGTAGCAGGGGCTACACACGTGGGCTACTCCCAGGACAGGGGTCATCTTTCAGGAAAAAAAATACAGGCTTATATCAAGTGACTACACAATACAAACCCTCTGATCTGCTAGACAGGCATCTTATTCAAACACAGCGTACGTTCCTGAGAGACCGTGGAGGGGAGAAGTGGCAGGTAGTGGGAGAGAAAAGACAGGACTACTGAGACCGGCTTAGCAGCTGGAAGCCATTAGAATTTCACAAGGTTTTTCTCCTCACTGAAATCTTTAAGCAATTAAATTAGCAGCAGACCTAGGCAAGTGAACAGACTAAAAGCTCCTGTTTCTCTGAACTGCCCTATAGACTTAGGCCATCAGAGTCTCCAATAGGCTGCAGACCTCTGGAGGACAAAACAGCTGGGAAGACCTGGAGCTTTGCTGTTCTTAAACCTACCAGCCCTCTTCTGCAGCCTCATTCTTCAGCCTGCCCTGCTGCCACCCTTTCCTAGCCTTTGACTCTGTGGAGCAGGTAAGCACAGTCCTAGCATGACAGGCACAGAGATTTAACTGGTCTGAGGAAAAAGGGTGAAACAGCAGTATGATTTACAGATGTAAATAGGCCCAGAACAAGGATGGTCTGCTGCTGATTCTTGAGCTGCACACTGTCCATGAGCAAATCTGGACTTGTGTTGCTGGGAGTAGCCTTGGCCCGGTGCAGAAGTGAGCCACAGGGCTGATAAACCCTAAGATCCAGCTGCATGTCCCAGCCAGCCCAAAAGGACCTGTGAGACCCCTGTGAATCCACTGGCCTCTCTGGCCTTCTACCTGGGTTTTCCAGCGATTTTAAGATTTTGTGATGTAGCTTGTAAGGTCAGAAGGTTTAACACAGAACTCAGGCCATCTGCCGTACAAAATGAAGAATGTATCTATCTGAGACATGTTCTTTGAGAAGAAGGACAAAGTGTTACAGAAATAATGAAAATCTCAGACTTCTTTCTATCTCTAGAACATTTCAGGAGCTCTTTAATGTTGTCTTTTATTACTAAGGTCAAAATCGCTGTTGGTGCAATTGTGATTGTATCCACTGGTTCTTCACAAAGCCATATCTGCAGAAAGCTACCCTAATTCAGCCAACCAGATATATCCGAAACAATAAGAGCATTAAGCAAAGCTCTTCTATTCTAAGACCTGAAAATGCTTCATAAATGTTATCAAATGAGATTTATATGTCTCGTAAATATTATCAGATGAGATTTATATAATTCCATAGCTGAGATGTAGTGACTTCATTCCTGAAAACTTCTAGAAACCCAACTGTATGAAAGTCCCCGCTGCTCACACGCTTTCCGCTCACACATGTTAATTACTCAGCGACTGTATCTACTATAACTTGGTTAACTTCATTTAATTCACATAAAGATGATTTTCCCCCAGAGGGCATCAGATGCTTTGAAATTGGTCATTACCAGATATCTAGATCACAAGAATATTCGGTAGCTCCAAGGAGCACATCAGGAGGACGGTACCAGAGTGTCACCACTTCAGAGGAGTATGTCTGACTGGGGATGGACTTGGCACGAGCAAGGCCTGCCAGAACAAAAAATATTGCGTACTGTGAGAGGATAGTCCTTCTGCCTGTACAGCATGTATAATCATGGGAAACAGAACATTATATTCTATTGCACCTTTAAACACAAGTAATGCTAAAGCAGTTTGCAAGCAATTGACAAAGCCAGTGTCTCTGGAATACACCTCTGGGACAGATCGGATCAAACAATATGCTCTGTTCTTGCAGGGCAGGGAGGAGAAGGAAAGGCTTTTTTGACTGATGATACCAGGAAAAGCCCTGCTCTTACCAAAATTGCCATAGATGTTTAGGAAGATCAGGCTGAGCCTGTGCTTCTAAGATCTCTACCTGAAGCCTCATTTAAACTCTCAGCGCAGTAAACAGAATATTCACCTTTCAGTAGGTTTGAACTAAATCCAAAGAAGCAAGTTATGATTTTTGTTTGAAGTACCCAGTTTCAGCAAACTCATTTATTTGCGTGTGTGTGTGCGTGTATATATGCACAGCTGTAATTTTACATTCAAACAGAATATATGTTGTTAACTCCCTGGGATAAGATGTAGTTATTTTGCCTCTTTTAAATGCCTCTAAAGCACTTTGCTCACTTATTCAAATTAAGTAGGCAACTGTGCCCCTTCCAGACTTCTGAACAGTTTCAGCCAGTTAATAAAAAGTCCAGCTCCCAGAATTCATATTTCCTTTCAAAAAATGTGGCACTCCTTCATCTCTCTCTTCCAAATAAGATGCGGATAAAGTGCCTTAGTTTGTCCTAAAGGACACAGGAAGAAGGAGGTATTGCCTCAGCTGGCATTTGTGCTCACTGTTCCCTTGACTTCCCAAAAATCATGACAGTCACAGAGCCAGTCACAGAAAGTCCCTGAGACACCGCAGAAACGTGAAGGGGAAATGTGTCTGAGACACCCCAGCAATGCAGATGGGAAATGTCCCTGCAATGGCCCTGCAAAGCGAAAGGGAAGAACTGTGCCACTAGGCAGTGCAAATCCTCCTTCATGTGTGCTCAGTGGCTTCTCAGGCTTTGCCTTTAAGAAAGCTGCTCTGGCATTGTAAGAAGGACTGAGAATAGATATAATTCTGTAAAGGGACTTTCCCTGGAACTCAGAATTGGAGTCCTTTTCCAGCCTTGTAAACTGCAAAATATAAGACCAGGAAAGAGGCCACACAAACTGCTGCAGCAGTGGAAACAGAGGCTTGGAGGGTGGGCTGGAAGCTGGCAATGCTCCCCTTCATTTTCGTGGTCCTCTGCCCACCACACTGTGTCCTTTTTGGGGGGGCTGAGCACATGCTCTGGGTGGTAGCTGGAGAGATGGGGTGAGAGATTTGTGCCCAGTGAGGCTGAGCATACAGGCAATGGGAAAAGGGAGCCCACTTGGTTTCAGTGCCCTGAGCCACTTGAGTAGGCTGGTGCCTGGGAAGCTGTTTACATTTTAGCCAAACTGAATTTCACCTCTGTGAAGCCTTGCCTAAGTCTAACGGAGTCTGACAGAGGAGGAATGAGAGGTATGCGTAGCCCTTGGAAGGGAGGAAATTGGGAAGAGCTGTAGGAAGTACTGTAACAACCACACTGGGGAGAAGACTTGTTGGGTAAATGGAGACTTGTTGGTCAGGGTGGATGTGCGTGCAGAATGTTTGTCTACAAAGCGGGTATCCCTTACTTGTGCCCCTGTCCGAAAGCTCTCTCACGTATAGTTCCTTCTTCCTTTCTCTCTGAGACCTGGTCTGCTAGAGATATGGGTGCAACAACAAACTGACCCTGCAGAGAAGCCAGCCAGCCAGGAGGCAGGCAGAAGGACTGCTGCGAAATAGAAGGTAAACCCTTTTCCTCTGTGGCACATGTAGGAATGTCTGATGGTGTGCAGTGAAGGCTTCTTAGCACCCCTTTGCAATGAGCTGCAAACTTGGTCTGTGTTTTACCATTTGTGAGAGATGCAGCCATCACAAACTGATGCCAAGAAAGCCTTTTGGCTCAGCTCATTGCTGTGGACTCTGCATGTCACATATTTCTGAAGAAAGAGAGTTTGATTCCCAATTCACTTGAGCCAGTTTTATGTGGCAGTAATTGCTCTGACTTAAACGAGGTGACTCCCTGCATCTATCAATATAAAGAAAGGAAAGACTGGACTGACCACAGAAATACTTTCCTGAAGTTCAGCAAGAGGTTATACTGCTGTGCCTTAATTAGCTGTGGATACAGATCTATACTAAAGATCTATGCTAAAGCTTAGGTCTGAGCAGATATACTAGCAGTATCCAAACAGTGACTCACCAAAGTCAGCTAATTTGAGCTCACCACGGCAACTGATGAGCAAGTTCTGGGGTTTCAGATCGCGGTGAAGAATGTGTTGTCGGTGGATATAAGCCAGGCCTCGCAGGAGCTGGAACATGAACAGCTAGAAAAAGTCAACAAAAAAGTGAAATGGTTTTGGGTGACTTTGCACTGATACATTAACTCTGAACTTCAGGAGAACTCCTGGAACAAAGCAGAGACAAAGCAAGTGAGAAGCCAGTAAAAATCCTGAAAATGAGTGGAGCTGACTGAAGAGGAGAAAACAGCAGCAGGATATGCCTGCCCTGAGGCTTCCTGAGGCTTTCCGTGTGGAATACTTTGGCAGCGAGGGCAGTCCCTAAGTGCACGTTTTGGAAATTTAACTTTTCTTTAGAACTGGAGTATGGATTGCAAGAGCAAACACGACTTTCCAAAACACAAACCCAACGTCCAGAACAGCAGAGACTCTGATTTCAGCGCTCACGGCAAAGACATAAAGCCAAGTAGAAGGAAGGGTTTAGGAGCTCGAAGTTTTGCCCATTGGAAACAGTTTACACCAGCAGAGGGAGTCCTTCGGCCGTTGTACACCACCTCTCCCAAATACAAGCTGGACCAGTGAACTGACTTATTTGACAGCGTAAACTGTTAGCTTTCCAGTTGGGAGAAAAAACAGGGACCTGATCTGAACAGATAGAGCAAATGAGAGCTGATGAATGAAGCAAGCAAGCAGGAAAGCAAGCAAACAAGTAAGCAAGACCTAACTCCTATCAGAGTGGCAGTATAAATAAGCCTGGTGTAAAAGAAACTGGTGTGGGCAGAAACAAGGTATGACATTGGATAATGGTCAGAAAACAAAACACTGCAGAAGTAAATAGACTTCACCAGAGGAAAGACATTTTTCATCAGAAGCCTAACCTGAAGAGCAGGAAAAACAGTGACACCCATAGGTCAGTTTTGTACCACAAAAATGTCCCTGCAATATTCTGCATACTTACATCATAGTTGGTGGGAATCACTCAGAGAAAAACCAAACAATATTTGCCAGCAAAAATGAAGCAAGCTAGATGACCCCCCCGCAGAGGCTGGCTAGTGTTTCCTCACACAAATGCCAGCGAGTACATGTTACAGTCGTGTACTCAGTGTCCTTTACAGGCCTGCCTGGTAGCAGAGCCCTTGAGGTCTGTGCCAAAACTGCAATATGGGATCTTGGACACATCTGAGCATTGAGGATGTTTAAAATCTGGGGTTCCAAGAAACTTCACTAGAACTGGTATCGCTTAACAACTATCTGGAAAAAGATGTGAACAAGGTGGCAACATTTGAAGATGACAGAAGTATTTAGATTAGCCAAGATAAGAAGTGACAGTGAGGAACTTCAGAGAGATCTGACAAAGTCAGATGAATAGGCAGTCTAATAACATACAAAGTTATTGTTGACAGCTGTAAGATAAATTAACTGAAGCTACTCAGGAAACGGACCTAGGCATTCACTGAGGACATCTGCATTAAAACCTATTCTCAGTGTGCAACAGAAGTCCTAAAAGTTAATTCAATTGTGAAGATGTCTACAAAGGAGAGTAGGAGACTATTATAACACTAATCTACAAAGTAATGGTACATCTTCAGCTGTGCTCAGTTCCAGTCAGCCTATCCCCAAAAAAGCTGTAGCAAAACCAGGAGGGATTTAATTGACTGTAAACATGAAGTTCCAGATGAGGAGAGAGTGAGATTTGAGAGCTTTTAATTGGAGAGATGAATAATGTATTCTAATGCTAAGACAATACAAATTTGTGTAGAGACAGATTTGCTTGCCACAGGATGTCATTCTTTACAAATGGTGAATGTCCTCTTGCAGGCTCAGGAAATGGGAAGAAGGACTTAGGCTAAAAATGTCCTTGGAGAGTTAGAGTGAGACGGAGGTTGTTACAGCTTTGTCAAAGACAGCTTTTCTCCAAAGTGTCATATATGGAATGAATAAATATTAGTAAGAACTTACAGCTGTTTTAAGCATTGCAGCAATTTACAATGAGTGCACATAGTGGAAAATAATGTATTTCTCATGCTTTAAGGGATACTAGTCTTCTAAGGAACTCACCCTAACATTGTGAGACTGAAGTCCTCCAGGATGCTGGGCCATGTACTGTGCCAGATCTGTGTGCTAAACAAAAGAAGATAACTTGAGGCAAAGCTACTAATATAAAATACTTCTACCAACAATGCCTCTTCTGTAAATTGAAAAAAGTATACAACCACTACATACAAAGGATTCTCTTTCATTTTGGTGAACATCTGATCTGATGCAGCATATGAGGACATGCTTAAGTGCTGGGTCAAATCAGGGGGCTGGCTGACCTGTTACGTCACCCTAACAGTTTGTGGCCTGGAGCTGATAGTCAGCAGAATTCATACCTATGCCAGAATTAATCATAAAGCTACAGTAAGAATACATAGCCCATATATTTTCCTTGTAATGTGGTTGATAGCTATTAGCAAAAGTAACAGAAGTAGCAAGACTCATACTGAGGACTTATTTACTGGCCTCTTGCCCTTCTCATGAGAGAAACCTGTAGCTTGGCTGCGGTGAGCCACTTTGGCCAGTGCCAAATTTGACACTACCTGGGATGTGAGGTAGTATCACTATGCCTTATCCTCGCTGTGGCTCAGTAACCGTACTTTTACTAAGTTGTCAAGTCAGTAATGGATGTAAATAGTTTCTGCCATCCTAGTGGAGACAACATGTGGAATCATTTTTGTGTATAGCTGTTGCATAAGCAGGAACAAAATAGTAAGGCTGCATGGATGGAAAGCAGGGGAATTGAGCAAGGAGAATCAAACAGTGCACTAAAAGATAACAACTTGTTCCTTTATAGATGTCCCATAACACAGCAAATTCATTACACGGCCCCTGGTTTCTTCCCAGTGCTTCATAGCAAGCTAGAAAAAGAGCAACTCACCATGTATTCAAAGACAAATGTTAGTGTCTCCTTGGTCTGGATAATGTCATGAAGGAGTACAACGTTGGCATGTTTCAAACACTTGAGAAGAGAAGCTGTGGAAACACAAAAGGGAGATCAGCCCAGCACTGCAGGTAGAAGTAGAAGTAGACAGTGCATGCAGCTAATTAGAGAAGATAAAAACTGAGGGGAATGGTCCAAACTTGGCAGTTCTGTAAGAAGCAGCAGCTACTGAATCTGGAGCTTCTTAGAGAAGCAAGCATTAAGGCTCTGGATTTGGCAGGAACCCATCTCTCCCTCAGAGGGAGGATCTTGCCTCTGTCAGAGATAGCAGTTCCCAGTTCCAGAAGCTGTCAGCTTCTCAGCTGAGAAAAAACCATTTCTTCGAGGCAAATGCAGTGGGAGGCAGGGGCTGGGAGCTGCCACGGAGTCAGAACTCAGCACTGGCCCCGGGGCCTGGCCCAGAGCTTCCCATTCCTTCCCATCCGCCTCCCAGGAGATGCCCTCAACAGGGGCAGCTGGCAGGCTCCTTAGCAGAAAGGTAGGTTTTTATCATCTTCCAGCTTCACAATATCAGGGTACAGAAATCTGCTGACAGAAATTGCTGTAGAGCTCAACTGAATTTAGGTCTGTGCTTTTAGTTTTGTGAAAGTATATTGTCACTTTCTGTAATTTAAAGCTGAAAGAGATGAAGCTACTAAGTGAACAGTAACTCGTTTATATTTATGCAACTTGGACATTTTTTTTCTTTTGGCATACCCACCTAAAAGCATCATTGCAACTGTGTGGCCCTGGTCCTTAATTCCTGGCATGCCTTCGCCAGACTTCAGCGCAGCCATGGTGTGGTGCTGGAGGGGGCTGCACACTGAAGAGCCTCTGCCGCTAAACAGACCACAGAGCACTGGCTGATGCTAACAGGGAAGCTACAGCCCTCTGAGCCAGGCCTTTCAGCCTTGCTTAGGTTTCTCATGTTAGAGCAGGCTCCAGCTGACACGCTCAGGAGGGCAGTTTCTCAGTAGAAAGTCTCGACTGCTAAGATCGTCTTTGTGGGAAAAGAACGTGCGCAGCTTCCTCATTTTGTACCCTAGCCAAATAGCTATCAGGCTTGGGATTGGTCTGCCTGTATATCCCTGGCACTACTAAAGAATCTGACCTAGCTGTTATACCAAAGATGTGTGCAGGCAGAAGCCACAAAGCTCAGCAAAAACACAGCTTCTGGCACAGCAGAATAGGCTCAGAGCTGTTCAAGACTCACCCTTCCCTGCTGATTAAAACCAGATTAACATACTGTCAGACCACCCAGTGGTAAAAATTTCATCTAGATAAAGCATGGGCACACAATCTCATTTCTGCTGAATTAGCCAAAGCACACAATACAGAACTTGTGCTGGCCACGGGGGGGTGGACGACTTTTGGTCCTGGATAAAAGCTGCTTTTTGTTTTTCAAACATCTACAAAAGATGTTTGAAGACCTTTGGGTGGCAGAGCAAATTTATACTGGATTAGCACTTTGTATCTTGTGACCATAACAATTTCATCTGGTTGTAAAAGCCCTACAGCCACATTTACTGCATTACGGAACTGTGGCCTACGACTATGCCAATCCTGAGATTGCTGAGCAGGACGGGCTACCTGATCCAGCGCAGGTCCTGGGAACACACCGAATGTAAATTAGTTCCTGCACAGAGCTTGGTGCTGCTGCAGCTAAACTGCCTCTGGTACTGACGGATGCTAGTTCGTACTAGCTAGCACCAATAGGTCCCCAGTACACTGCAGTATGAACTTGAAATATGCTCCGGATTGCACCTAGTTGCCTGTGAACCCCGGTAAAGATACTCTGGCTAAATCCCATTTGCTATGGAAAGGAGCTGCTACCCTGGCTCTTGAACCTTGAAATTTCCATCTGACCAGCTTGAGCCAGTTGCCAGCTCTGTCGCCCCAGAGGAGCAGCACAGAGGGTCCACAGTAAGGTGGAGCCTGCCGGGCCTGAATCAGGCCTCTGGTAATGGCCTCTTACGTGCTCCCTTCTGCAGACCCCGGCTGCTGTGTCAGGCGCTACAGCCAGAACGGAGCTTTAATAGCGCTTGACTTCTGTGGGGCTCCTGGGGTGAAGCGGCTCTTTGTCAGTGGCGTGCCATTCCTCCGGCGTAGCAGAGAATGCACCAGGTTAATAAATCTTGTGCTTTGTTTGCATGAGTGACTTACGTTGTAAATTTGAGGTGTCAGATGTTGCAAAGCTCAGCAGTACACAAAAGATCTAGTTAAAGTAGACCCTTCATAGGATCACTGTTATTTTCTCTCATAGTGAATGAAGTTGAAGGCTCTCGGCCTGTTTGGTAGAGCAAGCTAAAGGAGCACCGATCTTTACAGCATCATTAGTTCTAAGTAAGTAAAGCTTTTAAGGTTTATTGTACTGGTGGGCTAGGAGCGTAATGCAGAGCAGAAACACCACAGCAAATGAGTTTCAAGGAAACCATTAACACGAGCCATTCTGCAAATAGGCATATTTAGGCACCTCTCGGCTTTCCTCCAGAATTGGACTAAGGATTTTGCAGCCTTTCTTATCTTAATTACACTTGTTTTAACCTGGAGCACGTCCACTAACCTCTCTGTTTAATCCAAGTTTCACATGGAGTTGACTAATATAAGAGTTTTGACCCCTTCCTCTGTGCTAGGACTGCTCTATGAATGCTGGGATATCTGGTCTCCGGCACTCGTTGGTGACAAAATTAGCCCCAGCTTTGAACAGCAATAAGAAGTGGAAAATGCAAAAATGTGTGACCTCTTACATTCACAGCTCTCACTAATAGTAGACAACAGACTGGCATAAAAGTTGCATATTTCTGTTTAAGGAAGAAACTAGATTATGATCCTCTTGAGACTGCGGAGCAGACAAAAATAGGAGCCTTATTCAACCAAGCAGTTTGTGAAGTTATGTCTGTAGGGACATATAGATACGTACAAACAAAATCTAGGCACTTAAACAAAATCATTTCTTTCTCAAAGAAATTGAGAAACCTGCAGATGCTTTGCCCAGCGCTCCAGGAAGTCACCTGACAAAATGCATTTTTCGCTAGGCTGAAATGGTAAAAGTTATTAAGCACTAATTTTACTTGGAAATATTTCTCTGCAAGCTGAGATTTGTTATGCTCCAGGTATCAGCTGCCATCATACAGAAAGTGGCACCATCTGTGACACCAGCAGGCAAAGACCTCATCGCAAAGGGCACTTGAGTCTACAACTGCCCAGTGCAACAGCAGTAAAAACCACCGTGCAGTGCTCGTTCCTAGGGGACCTGGCTTATGATGGTGGGTCCTCAGCCTGACACTGGTAGAGATAATAGCAGTGTAGCCGTGTCCAGGTTGAAGCCAGCTCACTTCAGACTTCAGAGACCTCTAAGTTAGAAGAACAGTAACCATGGGTTCTGTCTATGCTTAATGGAAGGAGCACGGTCCGGAGCTCAGCTGGGCAAGCACACCATCTGTAAATCCTTCTTCTCCACGTTAACCGCCTGGGGAGCCCGTGGCCACTACACACAGTACAGGTGATGCAGTTGGGTGTTTAAAGCTGAATGGAACGAATCTGAGCCTGATTCAATATTGAGCACTGAGATAGCAAAAAGTGATTTTTAGAAATGGTTAACTCTGAGCTGAGCAGCCTTCACACCTCTTGTTGATACAGCGTGAGCGATTCTGTTAGCAGGCAGCTCTGTGACAGAGCGATCGAGATGAGCATCAGGGCAAACCACCCCGTAGGGACAGCTGTTTGCTGCCCCTGTGACTAATGGCACAATTTCTGTTCCTCTCTTGTAAAGGGGGTGGGGGCAAACAGTGCGTGAGACTGACTCCCTCTCATCCCTCCAGGGATTTCTGCCACACCAGCTTCACCAGCCTTTGAGCATCGGATCCACTAAGGAATTCACTGCAGTGAAGCTACACGATGTCAGCGCAATTACACCCATACAAGCCCCTAATGCAAAGGTGAGCACAGCAGGGGACGAGGGTTATGCCAGGGAGGTAAACTGAGTTTTGGAGCAGAATCAAGGTTAGTCCAACCCTGCCTGGGAGCAGGGTATCACTGAAGGTGAATTCTGACTGCATGACAGTCAGTGCAGGTCATCCAGGGACTGCTGTGGAGAGTGAATGTACCAGCATAGGTGTGATTTTCCTTATATAGCCAGCATCCGAAATAGGCACAATGAGGGGAAACTTCTCTCTTATACAGCCATAAAGGGCAGGGCATTAGCTAAACATAAGATTTCTAGCAGAATCATGGCTGTTAAACAGAGTCTTAAACATGTTACAAAAACACAGAGGTTGAAAAGCTGGCCCCTCTTTTACATGCCTCATAAGAACATCTATTTTTATGTACTGTGTTTCCCACAGGCAGCATGTTTTGTTGCTCAGAACATGCAATCAGGAGCCTGGAGACTGTGGTTGTGGCCCAAGTTCTGCCACTGACTCTCCACACAGGTGGGACAAAGCATCATCTCCCTGTTTCTTAGTGTTCCAGCTGCAAAAGAAGTGGTCACGATCTCATTCACAAGAGCAACCTTGTGCTCCTAAAACCTTTGCTGGCAAACAGAATGACAATTCACTATGAAGCAGACCTATCAAAGTCGCATACATTTGGCAGGAGACTCATTTGGCTGGCTCCTGCCACATGCCCCCATGCTTTAGAGCCTGCATCTCATACATTTGGGAGGCAGAGGGGCAGTATACCATCCAGGCTGCCTCTCACCCAGGATCACATGAGTGACTACACCAGCAAGCAGGTTCCCCATCCCTCCATCACATGCTCACCTACCCATCACTAAAAGCATCCTTCCTGAGGCATAAGGAAACTGAGAGTTTTGTGAGAAGCACAGCCCTGTACATAGAGTAGGCAAGAAAGGATTTAGGAAGCTGTTGTGTGGAGTTTTCTTCAGATTAAAACACTCTGAAAATGATGTCCCTCAGTCTTCACAGATGTTTGAAGAGGCTCTTTGTTTCTTACCTTCCCGGATGGCTGTAAAGGGCAGTCCCTCCTCTGTCTCCAGGCTGAAAACTTTCAATGCCACCAACTGGTGGTTGATCCTGTCAGGTCAGAAAGGAAGGTGACACAAAGCACCTCAGTGCTCAGCACTGATGACCACATTAACAGCCTTCTAGGCTACTCCACGCTCATCCAAGCAAAGTTTTTATGACCCCGCCTGGGTTAACCTCAGAAAGGAAGTGCAAACCACCTCCCTCTTGGCTTCCTTAGCAGCGAGCTGGGACCCACTAGGCCATGCTGGCTACAAGAGCAGCAGCTATTACTGGGCAGTGTCCCCACTCTGCCCTCACACCCTTGCTCCCCCGGGTGACTCCAGCATGCCCTCGCCCCGTTTTTCCATCTCGCAGGGATTCCTCCCTCCAAGGGAGCCCCTCGCTCTGTCTCAGGTGCAGCTGGACAATCTCCTGGCACACTGTGGTGCAGCAGTGTCTTTGTGAGGCCTCCACTGTTGCAGTGGAGGAGTTCCCTGAGAAATGTTGATGAGGTTTTGCCCCATCCTGGTTAAAGGCAAATGCAGACTTCTGATGTGCTTGTATCTTGCTTCGAGTACTCAGAATTGCCCAACCCCTTATGGATTCCTGTAACCGCTGTGTTCAGGGGATGCAGTAACAGCACAGCTGGTCCTTGCTCACCTGCTGATCCCCTTGTAAACAGTCGCAGAGGAGCCTTCACGCAACTTCTCCAGATGTACGTAGGATGTGGCAGCTCCAAATGGGATGCCTTGTCTCTGCTTCTTGAAGAAAATGGTACCTATTCTAGACTGCTGGGTAGAACCAGAAGCTACTAGCATGTCATTTGGCAATTAAATGCTGATTCATGGCTAGGAATAACGACTGGATGAAACCCTCACCCCCCGAACCTCTCCACAGCACCCTGTTCCTGGAATGGGTCAGTGTAATGCCTTGGCCTCTGTGTCCCCTGGCTCCAGCTCAGGGATGTGTGCAACCGCTAGGGCTGCGGGGAGGGTGCAGGAAGGGTGCTCTGGTTAGATTTGCCAGCTGGCGGAGGAAAAGGCAGCAAACTGTGTCACAGGCAAACAGCCATTTTATTGATGCTCTTCTTTCCTTTCTCCTTGACTGCCCTAGCTTTTGAGCACTTCACGTAATTTTTGTTTCCCTCCTCCCATTCATGGAACTCAGTTACGGTTTCCTAGATGGGCATAAAGGGAGCAACTGTCTGCATGCTCCCATCCTGGTAAATGTTACTGCCGATTCTGAGAACACACGAAGACAGAGCTGCCCTAAGTGCTGAGGGCATTTCAATCAGCATCAGTCTAAACGTGCGTTATTCTCTCTTAGCCTTGATTTATTCCTCTCTAGATAGCAATCCATTAGGGCAAGGACTAAGAGCCAAATGCAAGGGTGACATTTCAGGAAGTTTAAATTTATGGCTTCTCTCCTTTTACCCCTCAAACCTCTCTATGTGGAGCTTTTCTTACCACAGTATAATTTACACAGCCTGTGAATTTGGCCCATCCAGCATAACAGTACCATAAACTATAAAGCTATAAAAATAGTACTAACGAATGGCAGGCAGCCTGCAAGCTCCTCATGAACATCTACACTGGACGGTTGCCTGCATTATCATTTGATTCAAATACAACAGGACTTGTAATCTGTGGCATGTTGCCTCCTCCAGAACACTGTAGGTTGCTGGCTCCCCTCCCTGTTTTATAATCCCTCCTTGGCGTAGGGCTCACTGGAGTGCAATCTCCTCCCAGATCATCACATCAAAGGCATTTATTGTAATCTAGTCCTCTTTCAGCAGGGAATCTACAAGCCTGAAGCTGCAAAGTTTGACGCTGGCTAGTTAGAAGAAAACGTGGATGTTTCATCCTTCCACAACAAATGGAAGAGCCCAGCCTTAATCTAGCTTGATGCTGAAGCATCAGGGTGTGATATCAAATACCTCTGTCACAGGCGCCGCTTCCACGTGCTGGAGGCCAGGGAGATGCTGGGAGCCCCTTCCCTCTGAACAGCAACTGCAGCATCCTGCTCCAAGAGCACTTACACACAACACATCTCCCATGTCCTGAGTTCAACTAAAATTTCTCTCTCTTTTCTCCTTTGCTCCTCCTCATCCCTCAGTCTGTGATAACAGTTCATATGACTTGCATGTGGTCTCTGCTTCAAGCAGTCTTATGATTTCTGCAGTTTTTCTCTGAAAAACTCGAAGGTGAGGAAATAAGCAACAAATCCAAGCCTTCTGCTGGTACAAAATTATTTCAGTTAAGCAAGTCTCTATGTAATATAAAATTAAATGGTATGTTTCAGACCTCAGCTTCCCTCTGTGTATACAGCAGTTGCTACTCTATATGCCATCAGGTTTTAAGCTGAGCTATATGAGCAGTATTGGTGAGTCGAGGTTGCTGCAGAAGCTGTATTTTAAGCGTTATTTCCTATTAACTACAATTCTCTGCATTCTTTAGAAAAGCAGTCCAGCAGGGACTCGGGGTGCCACCACCGTGATGGTGGCATTGCACACGCACCCTCACCACTCTTCCATTCACTGGGATAAACGCGCTGGAAACAGAAACGCGGTTTGAGCGCATTTCCTCTGCCTGCCAGGAGACTGGCAGAGGCCGGGCCAGGGCTGGGACGCTCCGTTTAGGCAGGTCCCAGGCTTTTCCCTTTGCCAGACAGAAACACGATCAGCAAATCGCAGTTCTGCCCAAACTCAGCAAGAGCAGCCGCTGCTGCTAGCGACGCTGCTGAGATTTTGACTTTAAATTTTGCATTATCTTTGTAACGCTGAAGAACTAACGGAGCTAAGGTAACACAGAGATTCTGGTCAGAAAATCTTTTTGAGACCGCGTAAAGATATGAAGCACAGTTTGCCTCACAGATTCAGGACTGTTAGTCTGCTCGGGTTTATACGTTTCAGCACAGCCGAGCATCGGATCAAGCTGGAAAGCGCCGAGGTCGTCAGCGCGGCCCACCCAGCTGCAGCGCGCCGCGGCGGGGTAGGGTGCTTCTGTTGCTTTTCTTTCTTAAGGCCTACTGTCTTACTTAGGCAGGCTCCGTTTTGCGGTTTGTATAGCGCCATCCGGCCATCACACGAGACGGTGTGAGGCCAGCGGAGCCCCCCGCCTCGAGCG